TAATTATTATTGTAATGATACAGTATTTTTATTTATTAACTCTTTGAAATTTATATAAACAAACATGATAATGTGTGCATCGTTAGAGCATATAAGAGTTTCGTGTGTCCTGTGTTAGTTCACTTTGTATTCAAACTATTTTTATTTGGTCAATTGTTGATTTAATTTTCTGACAATCTCGATAATTTTTTTCATTAATATATAGTTATTAGGGTAGAAACAAATTAGGTTAAGCAAGACTTTAAAATATTTGTTCGACTTATTTATTGAGCTTACTTTCTTTTTATCTAGCATAATCATTCTTTAAAGTATGTCTTGACTTTAATAAAAACTTGTACTTTTTTATATTTAAATCATTAATGTCTTTTGTAACAAACAGTTTTATTTAAGTTGAATAGAATACTATAATCCCTAAAATTTTCCTTTTTAAATAATTAACAAAGTTATATATCTAACACTAAAACTCAAAATTGCTAATTACATTAAAATTATTTTTTAATATTTAAGTAACATATTTCATTGTAAAAACTTAATTAGCATTAAGATATTTTTGAATACCTCGACAAATTAACTTACTTATGAGGCTCTGATTAGTTTATTCTTCAAACTCCATTTGCTTGATGTAAATATTATTGCAATCTCTCAATGTCTCTCGTACTTTGTACCATGCTCGATTGAAATTGTTAGTTGCATCTTATAAATTGCATTGCATTTGTTGATATATGTATATATTATACACACACACACGTTACACCCAATAATGAGCTTAAGTACGTATGCAAATAAATGGATTTAAACTTTTATGTACATTAATAAGTATATAGTTTCAAAAAATTATATAAAATAAAATAATAATAGTATTAAGTGGACCGATTTGTAATATTTTTAATTTCCCTACCTTTAATAAGTTGAACATTTGTTATTTTTCTAATTACAAAAATTTAACAATTAGTATGAGCTCAGTAATCGTTATTAAAAAAAAAACATGTTTGGCTTTAAAAAAAGTTTTTTATTTATCAGAATTTAATCATTCCCACATTTTGGTTTTCTAACGAGTCATTTTGCTCCACTATATGTAAAAAATTCATTTATTTTCCATTTTATTAGCTCACTTTAATATTATTTTTTATTAAAATTAAATTATTAATATAAAAATATAAATAATTCATAATAATATAGCATTATAACAATGGTATGAATATGATGTACTAATATAGATATTATTTTTTAAGCTGATATATGTAATTTTGTTACTCGCATTGAAGTTTGTAACGTCATTTTAGAGGTTTAAATCATTTAAGATCTTTTGAATTTGATATACATAAATTCATTATTTTGCATTGAAATGTTTATGATTAGACAATTTAATTTGACAACTGTATTTAAAGATGAAAAAAAGGATATATGTTTGCAAAATTTACTGTTTTTCATACAAGAATTACACATATTCATTGTCACCCAAAGAAAAAAGAAAAACAACATAAATGTACGTATATAGGTTATATAGCCTTTAACATAATAGCTCAAATCACGAACCATTCTGATATGTAGTAATTCAAGAATTCAGCTACTCAACCATTTATTTTTACGCGTTTCTCCATTGTCGAATTGATCCGTATGCTGGCGATTCATTAAGAAAATTAACCAATCTTCCTTGTGTTTGCTGAGCCAAAAATTATTCACTGTTACTGTCTCATCAATTTTCCCTGCCTTTTTTCTTTTTAGGTTTGTAGAAAGTGTAGGATGTTGCTGATGAAAATATCAGGGTAATTTGTTTTTAGCATTTGGCTACCCATATTGTGATGAACTAACATTTTTCATTAGTATCTTCTTGAAAACGAACAGATGATAGATCAAGCTTTCAAAGTTGACCAATGTGTTAAAACAAGGATTCGTTTATAGTTATACACACACAATTACGTTGTCTTTTTTAGGAAAAAAAAAGATAAGGATTGCCACTTCTTTATATATTTTTATGTAGTAAATATATTTTTTTATAAAAAAAATTATCATTTTGAAATCTTTATTTAATTTTCAACCTTTAGAATCAATGTTAATTATTTTCACATTTAAAAATTTGTATAATGTACAAGATAGTTGTAAAATATGTTTTAAGCTTTAGTCTAACAAATTAAAAATAAATATAAAAGAATTTTGCCTTCGTGATCTCTATCTAACTTAAATCATAAGCAACTTCCTAACAGTGATGCTAAGAAATTACGAACAGTAAATGCAAAGCCACAGACCTTCACAATAATAAAATTACTACTAATAACTTAACACTTTTGCTAAGAATTTATGAACGAAGTATTAAAGAGTCTTGTCAATGAGTGTTTTTAAATACTCTCTATTAATTTAAAAAGTAATAAATAATTTTTTAATGAAAATTATGTTAAAATTTTATGTTATGTTAATTTTTTCTACGTTTAGTTCCTTCTTCAGTATATTAATCTTAATCCTAAGAACACTGATTGTATATACCATTATTAAACTTTCACAATAAGATCATTATCATAAAGTATACATGTAAGGTGACCAGAGTTAAATTCGTAGTTCCTCCATTTTCTCTCTCCCTCTTTTTGTTGTTTAAAGTAGCAATACAGAAATTAAAAAAATATAATATAGCTTAAATGCATTCATATTCTTTTATAAATTATACTATTGTTTAATTATAAATAATTACACGTTACATTTTATAAACAAAAACAACGTTTTAATTTACATACAAATAATTAACTCCTGAAAATGTTAATAATATACTTTTTAATATAATTTTTTATGCTCAATCAATCTACTTCTATTATATATCTTTAAGTGAAAAAAAAAAGTATTTTGTAGATCAGAACATTATATTTGGATGAGATATATTTTTCGCTCCACCTACGTCAATGCCTTTAAAGTGATAGTATGTAAATTTATTAATATTTTACACTTAGTTTCATATAATAATCCATCTCTTAATATGAAATGTTATATATTTAACTTAATTCTATTTAATATAATACTTTTTAATTAAAAATTTTACTCTTAAATTTACAAATTTTAAGAATTAAAACATACTTTTATTATTTTTTATTTACGATAAATATTTTAGTTTAACAATGTATGCATAGTGCAATAAAATCCTCTTTAGATATAAAGCATTATTTAGTCAGTCCGATGATAAAGCAACACAAGTCACCTCTATATATTAAACACGGGCATTTTTTTAAAGTTAACAATATTTTTATGAATTATCTTTAGTGAGACATTTGTAAGAGCTATATATATTTTTTTGTTATGCTATTTATTTATTTATACACCAAGATATTAAACATTTATTTTTTTATTTTAATGTAAATTGTAATTTTAGATTTTCATAATTTATTTTTAATTTAATAAATTTTATCTATTTATTTTTCCCTCTTTAATACAACAAAATGTTTATTATCAATAGAAAAATATTTTATTTAAAAAATAAAAATTCAGTCATGTGATGTATTATTAAAATTTTATTCAAAAGTTTATTTTAATTTAATGACAGTGGTAAGAGAGAATTCATTGGTATTTATTAATAACCAAAAATACATGTACAATGAAATACTTTTTTTTAAAAGATAAATACTTATTTCATAAATTGATATTTTTAAAAAATTGATTTTATTTTGTTTTTAAAAATGACTCATACATATTATAAAACGAAAATTAAAATAAAAAATAATTGCTAAAACTTTAGAAAAAAGTCCAAATTGAGTTTCGAAATGTGTGCGTTAAAACTTGATTAAGATGGCTACATTATCTTAAGTAGGTCTCTCTAACTTGAATTGAAATTGGTTGGTCAAATCCGAAAAATGGCTTGTCTACAGAAAAAGAGAATAGGGATCCCAGCAACATTTGCTACATTCTTTGGACGCAACAGTTAATCCCGTTGACCCCTTTAATTTATTTTTTTAAAATAAAAATTCTGCTGCATGGAACACACTTTCTTAATTTTCTGGATTGTCTTATTTCAACCATGATTAAAATTAATTTTGTTTTTTGAGGAAGAAAAGAAGAAGAAGCTACAGCTATTACCTAAACAATGTCACGCTTTTTTTTAACGATTGAATGATAATATAAAAAATCTACATTTATAATATATTATAATTAATAGTTATGAATTGTTCAAATACAATTTAAAAATGTATAATTAATGTCATATAGACTCTTCCAATGATACCTTGTAAAATAACGATCTAAGCAATATTTTTTCTAATTAAAATTAAATTTAAAACTTTAGAATTTGACTCGTTAGATAATAAATTAAATAAATTTGTTAATATGTTAAAGCATATAATAAAAATTTATATTTTGTAAAAAAATAAAATAAAAATTTATAAATAATAATTTCTATTAAAATTTATAAGATAATTTTAAACATTACATTTTTATAAAGTTTTAATATGTATAATTTTTTTTATTATATATCATTATACACAAGTCAAGAATCCGAAAATTAAATAGGACAAATTATTTGTTGAGTGTTGGGTTCATAAATATAAATTCCCTTAAATTTATTTACTATTAGGTGTAGAAAGAAATTAAGAGAGAGAGAGAGAGAGAAGAGGGTGTAAAGAAGAAACCGGTGTCCTGAGGAGAGGGTACATAACACAGTGACAAGGTTGCAAAGGAGAAGAGAGGAGAAGCTTACAAGTTAAGGGAGATAAGAGGAAGTGTTTGTTTTGTGTGGGCTTAGTGTCGGCTCGCATTCCTCACTGCGACAATCTCTAACTTTGGTGTTCAGAAGAAGAAAGAAGAAGCCAGCTACCTACTATTGTGCTGTGTTGTCATATTCTTCTTCCATACACATACTTTTGTTTAACCATTCTCTCTCCAATTTCTTATATTTTTATTTCAACCCCCCCACATCCTATTAATAATATCTTTCCATTTTATATTTTTTCCAAATTTAAAAATTTCCCTTTTCCCTCTGTCTATCGTCAACTGAAGGATTGTGTGTCCGTGTGAGTGTGTGTGTGTGTGAGAGAGAGAGAGAGAGAGAGGGAGTAGGTAGAGGCTCGGATAGAGAAGAAGGGTAAGCACAAAAAGCGATACAGATTTGTCATCAAACTCTGAAGAAAGAACAAAACAGAAGCTTTGTGATTCTGGTAAGTAAGTATGACTCGTTCGGTTTTGGTTATTTTTTATTTTATTTTATTTTATTTTATTAATTCTGGGGGGTATATGGGAAAGGTAAAAGTGAAGGACTTTTGAGAGAGAGAAATGTGAATGTGACGTTGTTGTGTATCGGGTGTGTGTACAGAGTACAGACAGACATTTGAGAATGGATGGATCTTTGGGTGAGAGGTGATAAGAGATGGGCATAGTGTGGTTTGGGCTGTTGTTCTTGCTGCTGAGTCAGGTGACATTGGAGCAGATTGAGCCACTGAGTTCAGCGAGTGAGCGAGAAGCACTGCTCCAACTGAGGGCTTCTCTGGGGTTGAGGAGCAAGGAATGGCCAAGAAAGCCAGACCCATGTTTAATCTGGGAGGGCATCGCTTGTCAGAATGGTCGAGTTGTTAAGATCAATATCTCTGGTTTCAGAAGAACCCGTCTTGGGAGGAGAAACCCACAGTTTGCAGTGGATGCTTTGGCCAATCTCACTCTCTTGCAGACCTTCAATGCCTCCAATTTCCTCCTCCCTGGTCCTATTCCTGATTGGTTTGGTCTTAGACTCCCTTCACTTAGAGTGCTTGATCTTCGTTCTTGCTCCATTGTTAGTGCTATTCCTTCTACTCTTGGCAATTTAACCAACCTCACTAGTCTTTATCTTTCTGACAACAAACTCACTGGGACTGTTCCTGATAGTTTGGGTCAACTCTTGGCCCTCTCCGTTCTTGATCTTTCCGGGAATTCTCTTTCAGGCTTCATACCAACCTCTTTTGCCTTTCTTGCAAATCTTTCTTCCCTCGACATGTCTGAGAATTTTTTGTCTGGGCCGATTCCACCCGGCATAGGGACCCTCTCCAGGTTACAATACTTGAATCTTTCTAGCAATGACCTCACTTCTTTGCCTTCCCAATTGGGGGGTCTTACTAGCTTAGTTGATCTTGATCTTAGTGAGAATTCTTTCTCTGGTGGACTTCCTCCGGCTTGGAATGGGTTCAGGAACTTGCGTAGAATGGTGCTTGCAAAGAGTATGCTCAATGGACCTCTGCCCAGGAACTTGTTTACTGCTTCATTGCAGTTGCAGTCCCTAGTGCTGAGGCAAAACAATTTCACTGGTTCTTTGCCTGTTGAGCTGTGGTCTCTGCCAAGTTTGACCTTGGTCGACGTGTCTGCCAACAATTTTAGCAGTCTGCTTCCTAATTCTAGTTCAGCTGCTAATGCTACTGTTTTGGTGCTCAATATTTCTCATAATCGGTTTTATGGAGGCCTCAGTCCTTTGCTCAGAAGGTTTGGTTTTGTGGATCTTTCAAACAATTATTTTGAGGGCAAGGTTCTGGATTTCATGCATAATGTATCACTAAACAGCAACTGCCTCCAAAATGTGACAAATCAGAGGACACCGGTGGAATGTGCATCGTTTTATGCGGCAAGAGGCCTCAGTTTTGATAATTTTGGACAGCCAAATACGACAAAACCTCCTGTAACGGATAACTCTGGGAAGAGCAATAAAATTAAGATTATATTGGCAGCAGTCTTGGGTGGGGTGGGTTTAATTGCACTTTTGGTGTTGCTACTGGTACTGTTGCTTCTATGTGCTCGTAAGAGAGGCAATTCAAGTCATAGGGGAAATGGTGTGGGTCCTGCTCCTGCTGGCGCCAGTCCTCCAAATCCTGCTGTATCAACTAACTTTCCAAATGTAGGAGACTCTTTTACATATCATCAGTTGCTCCAGGCAACAGGAGATTTCAATGATGCAAATCTTATCAAACATGGCCACACTGGGGATTTCTTCTATGGTGTTTTGGAAAGTGGGATTCCTATCGTAATCAAAAGGATTGACACGCGTTCAACTAAAAAGGAAGCTTACCTGTCAGAATTGGACTTTTTCAATAAGGCTTCTCATCAAAGATTTGTACCCCTGTTAGGTCATTGCTTAGAAAATGAGAATGAAAAGTTCCTGGTTTATAAACACATGCCAAATGGGGACTTGTCTAATTGCTTGTACTACAAAAATACTACATCTGATGATGGTAGTTTGCAGTCATTGGACTGGATAACTAGGTTAAAAATTGCTACCGGAGCAGCAGAGGCTCTATCATATCTGCATCATGAATGTGTTCCACCCATTGTTCACAGGTATTTCCAGATTTGATTGCTTGTTTTTTGTTCTTATTGCACTCTTGATTGCTTAAACAGGCCAATGTATTCTGATATGGTACCGGATTTCATAAAAGTCCATTCTTAAGCAGCTCATTCCGATTTCATCCTTGGATGCGTCTTTGTGACGGGTTGAAACCTGCTGGAATGGTCCTCTTTATATTGATCCCCTAGCAATTTGAAATATACTGCCAAAATTTCTGTTTTTCTCAACCGTGTAGGCCATTAAATGTAAAGGTTACTGTCATAAATATTGGCATTTGTTTCAGTATCTTTTGGGGGACAATTTCCATGTGTCCGGAATTTGTTGTTACTATTACCAGCCTGTTTGGTTCTACTTCTACATAATCTTTTCAGTTTAAATGCATGTATTTTAACGCCATGCAAAGTAGCTTTTGCATTGTAGATGTGCATATTCAGTGTGTATCCATACACATGCTAAGTGTGTCTGTCCTTTTGCTATATAATGGAGTTGATAAAGAAAGCAAGGCTGAGAATAAAAATAAATTTGTGAGCGTATTCCCTCTAATTGATTGTTCCATCTCAACAATGAATAAGTCACAAGTTTGTATAAGGAAAATTTCAAGCTGAATGGTATGCTGGAAGTGACAAGTCTATCTTCTAATTATTGTAGAGATATTCAAGCGAGTAGTATACTTCTAGATGACAAATATGAAGTTCGATTAGGGAGTCTAAGTGAAGCTTGCATTCAAGAAGGTGATACACATCAAAGTAAAATCACCCGGTTTCTGCGGTTGCCTCAGTAAGTATTCTATTAACAATGTTTTCAATGAATCTCATGAAAATTATGTCTGACAAGTCAATGCATGATGCATTGGCAATATTTTACTTCTTTGACTTAATCCTTTTGGCTGTTTGTTGGAAAATGTTTATGCTTTGAAACAATCTATCTACTGATTTGGAATTATGTATTTTAGACCTGTTATGTTGACTTTTTTCATGTGAGTGTTTTTAAATAATGGATGTCAGTCATTTGGTTTGCATAACTGCCGCATCACACTTACATAATTGATATATGGTCTTGGTAACTAGGAATCCTTTTTCTTTGCCCTGTTATTTCTGTTACATTTTCTGCTGCTATATGTCATTACTTTGTGGTTCAGTTGCAATAGGAGATTTTGACAAGTTTTGCATTCCTTATTTGCAAATGCATATTATTTGTTGTAAAAGCATTTATCTAATTTTTCATTTGTTTTTTTAATGTGTAGGTCCTCTGAGCAAGGCACATCTGGTGAGTAGAAACGCAAGTTTAGTTTTCAGTATGGATTTGTAGTCACTTCTATGCCTTGATTGCATGTCTATATCATTCATACTTTCCCTATCATACATATTTCCTGCAAGGTTGGATTTGCTTAACTTTTAGGATAAAAGTTTATTTTTCCCCCAAAAGTCTTGTAAATAAGATTTTGACTAAAAAAAACTATTTTAAAGGCTGAATGAGCTATAATCCAAACACAGACTTGGTATGTTGACAAAAGTGTGAGGGACTCTGGAAGTACATTAGTTTGTGCACAGCACAAATTGCCATCTATTAATGATGTTTTTTACGGACTATTGACTTATCACTGCAGTGTGGATGCATGTCTCAGTGAAGAAATGGGATATTAGTGTCAGTCTCAAAAAAATTCTGGGCATCCAGAGTACAAAGGGAACGTTATTTTGTCTTTACCCCTTTGTCCTGGTAGTTTTTCACCAGCAAAATGCATTTTCAGGGAGACAGTAGGAAGACATTCTGATTATCTAGAATTTTGAGATACTGTTCTTTCTGAGGTTGTTAAGTGGTCCAGATAGGTGGGTGATTCTGCATGTAGCAATTCATGTTAGCTTGAGAAGCTTTGCTGTTCCAGTCAAATTGCTTGCACAAGAAGTTTGGGTGACTTGTGGTTGTCTTTCACTAGTGCAAGCATGTAATTTTGAGTACTTTATTGAATCATTTATGTTAGGTGATTGATCTAGCGGTTTATTTTATGTGCTTGTTAGTTGTGTTTTCCTCTTTTCTGGCTTTAGGTGTGTATGAAAGTGGAGAAAAAGATGTTGAGCTAGGCAGATAAATATTTCTTTCTATTATTTTGACATGAATTTTGTTTACTGTGAAACAGGTTCATCAACATCAGTTTGTGCCTACGACGTCTTTTGCTTTGGGAAAGTGTTACTTGAGCTGGTGACCGGTAAGCTGGGAATCAGTGCATCCAGTGACAGTGAAGTAAAGGAATGGTTCGATCAGATTCTTCCTTGCATTAGTATGTATGACAAGGAGCTTGTGACAAAAATTGTTGACCCATCTATGGTTGTTGATGAGGATTTCTTAGAGGAAGTATGGGCTATAGCCATTGTTGCCAGGTCCTGCCTAAATCCAAAACCTTCAAGAAGACCCCCAATGAGATATATTCTCAAGGCTTTGGAAAACCCTTTAAAAGTTGTGAGGGAAGAAAATTCCAGTTCCGCACGGCTTAGAGCAACCTCTTCAAGAGGCTCTTGGAATGCTACTCTGTTTGGCAGTTGGCGTCAGAGTTCATCTGATGTAGCAGCAACTCCAGCAGCAGCCTCTGGTCCAAAATTAGAAGGAACTAGTAGTTTAAAGCTTTCAGAAACTACCGGCTCGCAGTCACAGGGTAGCTTCCACAATGGAGGGGGTGATGTTTCATCATCTAGGAGACGTCATTCAAAGGAGATATTCCCAGAGCCATCAGTCTCACATGAGGTGGAGAGGTTGGACTTGGAATAGAGACTTGAGTCTTAAATTTAATTCTTTTGATAGTGATACTGCTCTTTCTTCTTCTTGTTCCCTAATACCCTTGTGCTCTTATTGGTTTGGGCATTTCTTGGGTATTTGGTAGTTGAAAATGGTCATTGTACATGTCAGCAGACAAAGCGGCACTCAATTCCTTAACAACATGATGAAACCTTTCAAAGGGGGTGATTTTATTTCTTTTTCAGTGGTTTTGGACACTAAAACTGGTGGAGTGGAGAGATAGATATAGAGAACAAGATGGCCAAGTGCTGTGGTAGATATGGATACTTCTTTGACTGCTTGTTTTGGACAAGAACAAGCCCCATTTTTTCACCTGTAATTGATTTTTTTTTACCCTTTGTTCACCCTTTGTTCCCTAGTCCTCTAATGGAACGTAAATTTTAATGTGTAAGATTTCTTCATTCAGATCATATTTGTTTTTATTCTGGAAGACAGCATCAAAGTTTGAAAGAATGAAAAAACAGAATATACTGAGTCTTTTGGCCGTGAATCAGTTTGTTGACTTCGGAATTAAGAGCAGTGACTAACTTTGTTCGACATTTTAGTATGCCCTATTTTGGTTCAGGGGAGATTTGGAAGGAAATTGCTTATAGTTTTGGTAAGTTTTTTTAAACTTATTTTATCAAAGTTTTTCTGTCTAACTTTTGTATAAGTCTTTTTTTTTTTATATAATTTACTTTTAAGAACATTATAACAAGCATAAATTATTCATATAAAAAATATTGGGTAAGGTTTTCAAATGTTACCTTAGCAATTTACATAAAATCAAGCTGTTACACAATTTAATTGAATTTCGGTATGAAGGCCCATTAAATTAAAGTATACTGAATGAAAAGCCAACATTCAAAATGGCATAGTGGATTTGGTATATAAAAAAAGAGGTCCCACCGAGATTTGAACTCGGGTTACTGGATTCAGAGTCCAATGTCCTGACCACTAGACCATGGGACCATGTGATATGTATTGTCAGTCGTCCTTCTCTCATTTTATAAACTTTATTCCGTATTTGAATTCTTTTGTTATTGAATTGTTTGAAATGAACTTACGCGAGGGATAGCGGCCTACGAAAGGTGTGAATCACACATGTGACAGTGAATTAAATTTGGAATTCCTTCCTCTGAGAAATTGTGCTAGTTTTTTTCTTTTCAATTTTACGTCAATTCTGTTTGGTTTATTACCTGCATCTCATGCCTTTTTCCCATTTGCCAATCCCACAGGCTTTAGATTCCATGCTTCACAAACACGAAGATGAGATTTAAAATAGCATGCATCTTTCTTTTTTGTTTTTTGGGCTCAACAAATAGCATGTATCTTAAGTGTTAGCATATCCTAACACACCTGGCTATTTTGTTGCGTCCGGCCCAAATAAAAACAGTGTGATGTTATATATTGGACCAGAACTGAAAAAAAAAAAACGAATTTGTACTCCTTACATTAGTATTTTGTTGAGAATTGAGTTGTTTAAAATGAATAAATATGTAAAATAAGTATCGATTTACCGTTAATATAAAATTAATTATAATATTCAAATTCATAATAAAAATAAATAAAATTTTTATGATCAGAAAATGAATTTCAACGTCAATGTTCCGAATAAAAGAATTGGTAGAAGTTGAGCAAGGGTTGGGACAAGAAGTGAGTGACACGTGGAAAAATCCAAAACATCCCATAGCGCGCCAAACTATGGTGCTTTTCACCATTTCCTTTGTCTACTCCCTTTTGGTTTCACCTTTCGGCGTCCTTCGTTTATTTTTTGATCTAATTCAGAAACATTCAAAATTTGAGTGATGGAGGAGAAACTCTTTGAGAGGTTGGAATCCGCGGTGGCGCGTTTGGAGGCGCTATCCGCTGGATTTCGTGGAGGCGGTGCTGACGTGGCTGACGCTCCGGTGATCCATCCATAGTTGCCTTGGACGATCTGTTCGAGCATTACCTCGCTAGGGTTTCCTCTGCTTCCGAGAACATTGGGGGACAGGTCTTGGAGGTCACCAATATTGTGCGAGAAGCTTTTGCTGTTCAGAAACAGCTTCTGATTCAGGTCAAGCAAACTCAGGTCAGCACTTCCAACATTTTTTCTTTTCTTTTCTTGTTTTTCCACTGTAAATGCATCGCTTATTTTGTTTCTTCTTTTTTTTCCCTGATCCGAACTGGTGTAGTGTTTACGGGTTTATATTTATCGCCGCGTCATTTGGTCTTCATGAAGAAATTGCTGCATTGTTAATGATAATGTTAAAGACAATTCATTATTAAAAGAGGAAAAAAAGTGAACTGTGCTGTAAGATTGAATTACTTTGCTGTATAAATAAACCATGGTGTATGTCTTAATATGTCTCATCTTGACGTCTTCATTGTGTAGAAGCCTGATCATGCTGGATTAGCTGAGTTTCTGAAACCATTGAATGAAGTGATCATGAAAGCTAATGCAACGACAGAGGGAAGGAGGTCCGATTTTTATAATCATGTGAAGGCTGCTGTTGACAGTCTCTCAGCTTTAGCATGGATTGCATTTACTGGGAAGGATTGTGGTGAGTGAGGAATGGTTGTTTTCTGCATCGACAACTTACTTTTTGGTGTCTTATTTTTCTTATGTTGCTTCAAGGTATGAGTATGCCCATTGCACATGTGGAGGAAAGTTGGCAAATGGCCGAGTTTTACAGCAACAAGGTATTCTTGAATGATGCATGCCAGAAATTGTTGATTTATGTATGATAATTTTTATGAATTACTGGCCTCTGTTTCATGTTGAGGAGAAAAGAATGAAGGAGTCCTCTCTTTCAGTAATGGTGATTTTAAATCTTTGATTTTCAATTTACTTTTATGAACATTGTAGATGCAAAATGACAAGTGCTGATCTTGCAATCTTATTTGACTTCTATTTCATGACTGAATTTATTAACTGCAATTATCAGGTGCTTGTAGAATACAGAAACAAAGATCCAAATCATGTTGAGTGGGCCAAAGCTCTGAAAGAGTTATATCTACCTGGTTTAAGAGATTACGTCAAGGGATTTTATCCTTTAGGCCCCGTGTGGAGTCCAACAGGAAAAACAGTTGCTCCATCCAAAGCTCCAGCACCTACTACACCTGCTCCTCCTCCTCCTCCTTCTCCACGTGCTTCTCTCTTCAGTTCTGAGTTGTCTCAAGCTTCATCCTCTAAGCCAAAAGAGGGGATGTCTGCTGTTTTTCAAGAACTCAGCTGTGGGAATGTCACTGCAGGTAGCTTATTCTTACTCTTAATTTCCTGATTAAATGTTGATTGTTGAGATTTGAGAATTTATGAAATATAAATTTTTACTGCTAGGTTTGAGAAAAGTCACGGATGGTATGAAGACAAAAAATCGCACAGATAGAACTGGAGTTGTTGGCACCAGTGAAAAAGAAATTCGTGCCGGTTCATATGCATTTTCTAAAGCTGGTCCTCCAAAATTAGAACTTCAAATGGGCCGCAAGTAGGTTTATTTGTGTAGATGTCTTTCTGGTGATATGATTTCATCTCCCTAACCTAAACCTAAATATTCCCTGAAACTCTAGATGGGCTGTTGAGAATCAAATTGGGAAAAAAGACTTGGTCATTGAAGACTGTGATGCAAAACAATCTGTATATGTTTATGGGTGCAAAGATTCGGTTTTACAGATTCAAGGTAGTCTTAATTGTTTTACAAGCTTCTTTCTTTACATGTTTGGTATATTAGATCATGATTTGTTGCTATCCAACTTATCACTTGATGAAATGATTATATTATTCAGGCAAGGTTAATAATATAACTATTGACAAGTGCACAAAGATGGGACTGGTATTCAAGGTTAGTCTGGCACATGGGAAATAGATGTTTTAGTATTGGTGATGGGAACTTGGAAACATTCCATGTTGTGGGCAATTTGTCATTTTTCTGTGTGCATAAAATGTAGGATGTTGTTGCAGCTTGTGAGATCGTAAACTGTAATGGGGTTGAGGTGCAGTGTCAGGTACCAATAGTCCTCCATCTTCTTTTTCTTCTGTAACAATGTTCAGTGATGTTGGTATTTGATATTGTTTGGCTACTATTGTGGTAGCAGTAGTGATCCTACATTCTTAATAAATAATAATCATCAATTGCAGAGTTAATGGTTTGTTCTTAAATAAAGAATTAGTATATCAAATGTGGTTTTAGTTGTAATTGTGCTTTGCTTTCACTAAATGTAGGGTTCAGCGCCAACGATTTCAGTGGACAAAACTTCTGGCTGCCAGCTTTATCTGAGCAAAGATTCTTTACAAGCATCCATATCCACAGCCAAGTCAAGTGAGATCAATGTGTTGGTACCTGGTGCTGAGCCTGATGGTGATTGGGTATGTTTCCACATTTCTGTTTTATTTATGTTCGACCAAGTTTGGTTTATCTACTGAGCTTTTTTCTGGGCACTGTGTTTTTGTAGAATAAAAAATTAATCATGTCCTTTATTTGGAGTTTGAATTTTGATCCTTTAACATCTTTTATTAGTCTTTGCTACAAATAAATAATTTTTTGTAAGGCTTAATATCATTGAGAGGAAAGCAATTGCATCAGATCAAACTTTACATGCAAGGGGGTTGAGATAAAAACTGAAATAGACTGTTGATTTCTTGGGTTGCATGAGCCTTGTTAGAGAATAGAGCTATAACTTCCCCTACAAGCTTAAGTTTTTAGGAGAGTTGGTCCTTGACAAGCATCACTTGCATTTTTCCGTAAAATGGGTTAATTGCTTATCATGCAAACATGTGTACATATTTGATAGAGCCTTTTATCGTTTATTATATTATTATTATTCTTGTTATTCTTTAGCACTTGTTATAAAATCTATAGCCCCCCACCTGAATCTATGTTGTGAGAAGGTTGTTTACTTAACTAGTTACCTATCGTGCTAACATGTCGCAGAGCAGTGGAGGGAATCCATCTAAAGTTAGAATCTTTTTTAGAAGATTGAAATTAGAAAGGCCTAACTAGCTCAGTCTTCCTTAAATTTTTCATTGAATTCGTCAATCGTGGTAAGAAAAAATCATATGCATATTATAGAAGTCAACTAACATTGCTACAAATTTTAATTATATCCTCTATTTCAGGGGGAGCATTCTTTGCCACAACAATATATTCATGTGTTCAAGGATGGCCGTTTTGAAACAATTCCAGCTTCCCACTCTGGCGGTTAAATGGCGGTTCTGAGCTCCGATTTATATACACCCCATCTTATTTATTGGATTGCTGTGGGAGTGATTTCAATTTCTTGTTTCTTCAATTCATTCACAAATATAACAGTAAATATAGTTGTATCATATATGTATTCATGCTTGGATGCATTTGCTTGTGGTTTTTCCATTGGCTTACAGAATCGTTGGAAACATCCGTAAGATTTTCGCTTGCTGGAGCTTGCTTCTGCTTGCACGGGAGTTGCTTTGTGCTATCTTGTTTGAGGCTTTTCACAGAGGATCCTAGCTAGGATTTCTTTTTTTGCCTGAATATCTTTGTTTCATTCTTCTTCAACGATGAAATCGTCTTGATGATACATTCCGACTTTCCGAGGGTTGTCAGGCGCATGGTTAATGGATATATTTCCCAAATTCGATTTACACAAATTTCGGACATAAAATACTTTTTTAAGATACTTATTGCTTACTATACTTGCATCCGATCAATCAGTTAAACTGGTCACCAAAATAAATCCGATTTTAATTCTCCTAGTTGATTGTGAAATTAATTCTTTAAAAGTTAAAACATGTATATTTTATTTATTTATTCTTAAAATATGTTTAACTCATTTTAATATTTTCGTGTTTCCAAAAAATTGTATTTAATAATTATTTGACTAAACTTTCATTTAAATTTCTAAGATAAGATAATATTAAATATTTTAGTTCTTAAAATTTTAAAATTTTCATTAATTTTAACTTTTGTTTATGTTTATATTTTTTACTTTGAGTCATTCATTTTTAATATAAAGTAAAAAAGTTAAAATATCACGTTAGATGACATATAACTGATAAAAATAATGTAACATATAGTGTGATATATGTTTTTATTTTATTTTAATTTTTGAAATTATTATTGATTGATATTTTAGTTTCAAATTATTATTTATTAAATATTTTAATCATTAATTTTTAAATTTTTTATTTATTTATTTATTTTGTTCTTATCATTGTTGGAAATAACTATTGATAGTCACTTTAGGTGTTAATATTCTTAGTTGATTATTTTTCAAGTTTCTCTTTGAGATAATGGCGTTACTAACTAGGATCTTAAGTATGTCAATATTAGAAGGGACAAAGGAGGGGAGGGTGAAAGTGTTGGAGTTTCAAAAGCTTCGAGGGTTGAAGTGTTTAGTACAAGCTCCAAGAGAAGTATCTACACATCCATTGATAACAAATCCACTCCACCCAAATCAACATCAGTCTCATCACTGACAACAAAAACTCTAACACCATCATCTACACCAATATCAGCTTCCTCTCCTTTGGCCTCACCCTCACTTGTCACATGCAAAGCCTTTTTATGAACCGTATCATTTCCTCATTCAATACCTGATTTCCTTTCTCTCTTCTTTTCTTTCATAACTTTTGAAAAGGGTACATGACATGGAATGAGAAATTGAAGCTTTGGCATTATTGGCGGTGAAGTGGTGCCTTCTCTTACGTCGGCCTCTACCAATGATGGTATTATATGGAATAATGAAAGTGCGAAAATGATTGCTGTAGGTAGAAGTCTTAGTATTGATGTTAGTGGAATCCAAATTGTGTTCAACAGTGAGGTAGAAAATATTTAGATGGTTGGAGTTAAAACAACATTTTTGGTTGAATCATTTTTCACACTTGTGTTGTTGTTTATCAACAATGTTTGAGTCTAAAGAGTAAAATGACTCAAAAGATATAAAAGTAAGAAATTAACTTGATATTTTTAAGTTTTCAAAGACTAAAATGCTCAATGTTTACTGTCTCATGAATTAAAATGAAAATTTATTCATAATTATTAGTTATTATAGTTAGTTAACAATGCAGTTGTAGAAATATTGCGATTAAGTACTTTGGTTAAGTTGACGTACGGTCTGAAATATTGTAAGTCTAATTCATTTTGTACTATGAAACTTTTTTACTTTCACGTAAAATGCTTATAGTAAATTGTATAGTGATTCAAACAGGAAAGCCCATAAGTCATAGATTTAATTTTCTATAGTGTTAGAAATGAGAGTTTTTTACTTTGGATTTTTCTCTCATTATTTTCAAAAGATTAAAAATTAATATTTATATTCTCATGGATTATCACTTATACATTTTAAGGTTAAAACTGATTGAGAATGAGAAGTAAAATACATTATCTCACTACAACTATCTTACTTTTTACTTTACCTTTCTTTTAATTTGTTTTAAAATTTTAGAAATTAAAGTTTTTTTTTTAACTTTCTCTTGTTATTTTATATAAATTTTTTGAATTTATTTTTATATTTATAAATTTTTTATTATTTTATATAAATTTTCAATTTTTTGTAAATATATATATTTACATGTATAAAATTTCCTTATTACCTTACATTACGTTTAAATTTCTCATAAATATATCTGTTTATAATTAATTTTTTTAAGAAATTAAATTTTTTTTTAAAAACATGAAAAATTATCTACTATCGAGTTTGAAAGTATTTAATACATTTTTAATAAAAATTATTAATTATTTTTATTAACTAGTGTTTAAAGAGTAATCTTTAGTTAGATTTGTATTTTAAGCAAATAAAAATAAAGATAAAATAAGAAAAAATATTAACATTCATTTTTTAAATTAAGTTTAAACAATTATCATTATTAATAATAAATTAAGACATTTCTTTTAAATTTGTACGTGTAATATAATAAATATATATTTTGCGCAATAATAAAAAATATAAATTTTTTTCAATAAAATTTTTAGTGAAAATTAAATAAAAGATAATCACCTTAATTTTTGTGAATATATATATTACATTGAGTTTTGAAACTCAACAATCTAAACTTTTTATATACAAAAAAGTATGTCAATAATATTATAAAGTATTAAAAGAAATTAAAATGCTATAATATGCATGTATTCTTTGAAGATAAAAGATAAGAAATGCAAATTGATGCAGATAAAGTAATAAAAATACTGATAATCAAAGAAATTTGTTGATTTAGAGTAGTGATCCAAAACCTTGCACAATCCAAGCAATAGATGGTAATAATCATTAACTTTTGCGTTGAGTGTTTATCAATTAAGAATGATTTAGCTGAGAAGTTGATATGGATTCAATTTTTTCATGTTTTGGTGGGTACATGAGCCTCATGTTGCTATTCGCTTAAACGAATTGAAAATGATTTAAGCAAATTATGCATAAAAGGGATAAATTATGTAGAAACTAAGAGTATGTTACCAAAAGGTAAAATTTTACAAAATTTATTATCAAAGTCAATTTTACTTATCTATAAACATTTAACTGTGACAGCAAAACATGAATAAAAAGTTCATTTTATTCCATTATATTAATGATATATAATTGTTTACAATGAAATTTACTCAAAAAAATAAAATAAAATTCATCAATACATAGACAAGTAAAAAACAAAAAAAGCTGAAACATTCTATTCCATTTCATTCATATCAAATATCATCCAAAAATAAATGGGAGAGGATGAGAATAACGCTGTTATCTTTATCCTCTCCCATATATATTGATAAATTGTTTTTAGGTAAATTTTATTGTGAATAATTGTGTACTATTAATATAATAGAATAAAATGGACTTCTTATTTATGTTTTGCTACCATAGTTAAATATTTCTGAATGAGTAAAATTTACTTTGATAATAAATTTTGTAAAATTTTACCTTTTAATAGCATGCTGTCAGTTTCTACATAATTTACCATTTTTTTGCATAATTCGCTTAAGCCATAAAAAATTTGCTTAAGTGAATGACAATATGAGGCTCATGTTCCCGCCAAAACATGAGAAGATTCGAATCCAAGTTGATTCGTGCCAATTTTGTTGGGTTACGTTATTATTAGAAATTTACAATATTAAACTTAAAAAAATTATAAGCTAAAATATTAAAAACTGAGGAATTAAATTAAAATTTTATAAAATTAAAGATAGATTAAAAATATATTTAAACTATTGATTTTTTATTTATTTATTTGAATGTTTCGTTTTTATGCTCATTTCACCTATCCTTTTTATTTTCTTCTTCTTTCTTTATTATATTATTTATCATTTCTTTATTTATTTCTATCTCTCTTCCTTCCCTCTACGTACTGTACACCCATTAATGGAAAATAAAATGATTATTAAAGTTAAATTAAAAGCTTTCCTACAAGTGCAGTATATTATATATATTGTTTAAAATTTCATCAGAATCCAAACCATTGCTGAAGTACCATGCTTCAATAGAGTCCCTCTTACTCGTATATAGAAAATCCTGTTACTAGTAATGTCGAGTTAAATTTGAATCTTTCACATTGAATTTTACGTGAAATATTTAAAAATCTAAATGAAAAGTTAGTTTATATCTAAATAATTGGATTCACTTTCCCCTAGCGTATTGAGTGGGGAATTTCTCAAGCACGCACCTTTTCCATAGGTGTTTGGTGCAAACTTTTTGAGTATGGTCGTTAACTTTAAGAACATTGAAGACTGGAAGCTGTTAGCAGACCAATGGCTCTACGTAAAATCGACGAAACTCACCAGTTGACAAGGACAGCTTCTCAGATACGACCATACCACTTATTGTCCGTAGAATTTTTTAAAACTACTTAATTTTATTCGCGTTATCTACGGATTTTTTATATTTAATATCAAATATGATTAAGATTTAAAAATATAAAATAAATTAAATATTATTTTTTAAATACAAATATACTATATATAAATCCTTAAATTCAGCTACCAAGATTGAGTTAAAAAAGTTTATTTTTTAAAAAGCTGTACAAATATTTAGCAGTTAATGTAATTCTGGTTGATTTCACACTCTTTCTACCGTTGCAAATCTCTCCCCATACTTTTATATGTATACTTTCCCTCTATTCTTCCCTTTCTTTTCTTATATTATGTTTTGTGGGTTCTGAAATTCACTCTATAAGAGCATCTGCTTCCAACTTGGAAATGCTTAAACCAGCCATGGCCACTACATCTTCAACTCTTCTCTGCCTTTCTCTATTCGCCATCGCTCTCTGCTTTGCAGGTTAGTAACTGTTACTGTTACTATGACCTTTTTATTTCTTTCAAATAAAGTAATCTTACTTTCTCCAAAAAGGGTAACCATAACTGTTTCTCTTTTCCCAATTTTCCACTTTTAATTCGTTTCGTTAACTTCGTTGCTTCTTGCAGAGTCGCAATCATTCATCGGCGTAAACTATGGCCAGGTCGCCGACAACCTTCCGCCGCCGGAGGCCACGGCCAAGCTTCTCCAATCCACCACCATCGGAAAAGTCCGCCTTTACGGCGCCGATCCTGGGATCATCAAAGCCCTCGCCAATTCCGGCATCGGAATCGTCGTCGGCGCCGCTAACGGCGACATTCCGAGTCTGGCATCCGATGCCAACGCTGCCACTCAGTGGGTGAACGCGAACGTGTTACCCTACTTCCCGGCCAGTAACATAACCCTGATCACCGTCGGCAACGAAGTGTTGACCTCCGGCGACCAGGGTTTGGTCTCGCAGCTTGTCCCTGCAATTCGTAATGTCCAAAGTGCCCTCAGCTCGGCGTCGCTCGGCAGCAAGGTCAAGGTGTCGACGGTGCACTCGATGGCCGTGTTGACTCGGTCGGATCCACCGTCGTCCGGGTTGTTCAACCCAGCGCTTCAAGACACACTGAAACAGTTGCTGGCGTTTCTGAAGGATAACAAATCACCCTTTACAATCAACCCGTACCCGTTTTTTGCATACCAGAGCGACCCGAGACCCGAAACGCTGGCATTCTGTCTCTTCCAGCCCAACTCGGGGCGGGTCGACTCGGGTAACGGGAAGCTCTACACGAACATGTTCGATGCTCAGGTCTGTCATTGTTTTTCATTTTCACTACTTTTTCTAAAAAAAATGATGAAAAGTTGACGTGGAGTCAATTAGACAATCTTCCTCTGTCGTCTACATTCCCTCCACGTGTCTACAGTTTTCGCCATTAGATATGATATATTATTTTCGATTGAACAAACTCAAATTATTGTTTGGTTTTTAAAAATTCTAACATTTGTAAAAGATTAATGCTAAACCGTATTTACACGTAATTAAAATATTAGTATTATCCTCATTTTTTAAATAATTAAAATTTACTTTTAGAACATTTATTATATAGAAGATATCAGAATAATTATTTTTTAATAAAATCTTAATATTTTGTAGTCAGTTAAATTGATTTTACAAAATTGAAGTGAATATTCTTTATTATATAATTAATGATAGTTAGTTTTACCTATTTATGTGGTGCACGTGCGCTTTAATTCTGCTCTCTACGGCCAGCACATACGTAGCATCTTGAGTCTTGAAGTTACAGTGACACGCACTTATCGATGACATGATTCTTTTGCACAATTTGTTTCTCTGATATATTACTATAATAACGATGACGGTGATTGCTTTTTAATTTTCAAAGTGGAAGTCATTGGATTAGGCTACAATCTATATGGGATGATGGGTTTAACTATTTAAATTTTGCCCGTGATGCTGCGGTAAGTCAGAGAGTAAAGTTGTTTATTACGCATTTTGTTTCACTTTGTGTGTTAAACTCGAAAGTAAATGTAGTTACTAACATGCAAGATTGTGTAAGCTTGTCAATAATAGAGTTGCGCAAGTATGAGTGGATATGGATGAGTTGATGTGTGTGATAGCAAAAAAAGATTTGATTAGGATTCTGGATTGACCCTGGTTGTGAAGTTAAATAATAGTTAGGGGACGATGGATAGAGCACACCCTCACTCCCTTTAATTGGAAGACAGGCTGGCTACTCACAATGGGGTCACAAAATAAGTCCTTTCAAAGTTTCAATAATTGTTGGGCATAGCATGGGTAAAGAAAGTGGACCATGGTGAGTGAATATGGTTGGCAAACCCTTGTCTTTTTTTTATCTCAGAGGATAAAAAGGAAGAAAAAATTCCAATGTTTGGGAACACCTTTGTTCTCCCAACTCCCAACAGCCTGTTTGATTTTAGGCATATTCAGTATTCCTAATTTGCCAAAACTCTAGTTTATAATGCCTCAATTTCTCGTTGTTTCATATTTTGGTAATCGCGCACAGATTATGCTACTGATTGAATCCAAATGGAAGCCCTTTGATTATGTTACCCACTTTATAATTATTAATTAGAGGTGTTTCTTTACGAATAATTCTAAATCATCCAATTTTTATTCTTATGAATCCTTCTAATCATTAGATTAAATATATTTTATCTTATAAAAATAATTGATACATATATTCTTTGCCTATATTTATTCTTATATGGGTTTCAATGTTGAGTAGGTTGATGCTGTACATTCCGCTTTGAGTGCTATGGGCTTCCAAGACACAGAGATCGTGGTTGCTGAGACAGGATGGCCCTCTCGTGGGGACAGCAACGAAGTAGGACCAGGTGTTGAAAATGCAAGAGCCTATAACGGGAACCTGATTACTCATCTTAGGTCATTGGTTGGAACCCCTTTGATGCCTGGGAAGTCTGTGGACACTTACATTTTTGCGCTATATGATGAGGATTTGAAAGCTGGCCCGGGCTCTGAACGTGCATTTGGGCTGTTCAAAACTGATCTTAGCATGTCATACGATGTTGGCTTAGCCAAGTCTAGCCAGCAGGTGAGGAAATTGCTATTCTATTAGGCAAATTCACACTGTAGATGTCCTTAAAAGGTTCATAAGATTTATGAATGATTTTCACTAATAATAATAGTCTTATTTGTGTGTCCACAGACTCCATCAATTAGTCCAACAAGTCCAGTTGCTCCAGCACCACATACTGAAGCTGGGTGGTGTGTTCCCAAAGCTGGAGTATCTGATGCGCAGTTACAGGCCAATCTTGACTATGCATGTAGCCAAGGCATAGACTGTGGCGCAATTCAATCAGGGGGCGCTTGTTTTGAGCCTAACACGGTAGCATCCCATGCTGCCTTTGCCATGAATCTCTACTACCAAACTTTTGGCAGAAATAAATGGAATTGTGATTTCTCTCAATCTGCAATGCTGACGTCCCAAAATCCAAGTAAGTTCTCTAGACACTTGGCAATTTCATAAGTTTCTATAGGGAGTAAAGGTAACATTGTCTTCGCTGACACAAATGTATGATGCTTAAGTTATCAAAAGGTTACTTTTTCATATTAGCTCTATATAAAAAAGACCATAACTTTTTGCTCTGTGCTCTTTGGCTAACTCGATTTCCTTCCCTTCGTAGGTTATAATTCTTGCATTTACGCTGGTGGGAGCACCTGAAAAACACAGGCTTCAGCTTGAGGTCAATTAATAAGATTTGTGGATAGAATTTTATTAAAATTTAGGATTAATTTAATGAATAAGGGTCTATCCTTCGCCCTATTTATTTATAGCCCTTTAATTTTATATGCCTGTAATTTTAGAGGCATGCCAATTCTGGTTTGTGCGTATCCACCCTTCAATGTGGCAATCCACAAGTCTGTTTTCCTTTAATCTTTCATGATCCCACCCCCTCCCATTTTTCCAATAATAGATACCCTTGCGGACAAACCCTTCCAAATATGATTTTGCTGGGGTGTATAGTGTGTGCCCGAGGGGCAGTGCAATGTTTTGCTGAAAGGGCCCATTGTATCACCTCTTTAACAACAAGGTTACTAGTCCACAGTTATGAACTCAACTCCACTTCAAGCACGAGACCACGCTGCCAATACTGTGTTCTATAATTTCAATGGACAGTTTAGAGTTGAATTTATTTTAATGAAAACTCAATTTCTTCTAACATTTTACAGAACATGACCAATTTGTTAAATATTATGCAATTAATCCGTAGAATCTTTTCAATAATTTCCTAAACTTAACAAAAACAAAGTATTTTAAACAATATTATTTAAAGCAAAGTCAGAGTTGGCTAATCATGATACACGTTAGATTACCATTAGACAACGTAGGATGACTTAAACACTTTTAAATTCAAAGGTGTCGTAGAATTTACCGTATCACATTTCTATAAAAATTACTTGAATCTTTCAGTATTAATTGCAGACGGTTTTTACAAATCAAGTGAAGCCGCGAAGATAATATAATGTAAAATAATCTAGAGGATTGAAGCATAAATGTCATGCCATGGAATATGGTTATTACGAAAGTGGTTCCATTAGCTAATTAAAGTGAGAGAAAGCAATACAAAGGTTTTGTGTTTGATTGTTACTAGTGACATTTTATGATAAATAAATATTTCTTTAGGTTATTGTTAAAAAATTTTACAAAAGCCAAAATCTTGGAATATAATAATTGTTTTCTCCTCAACCTGCATTTTAGAAAAAGAAAAAGACTCGGTTATGGTAAGAGGTAGTGTGAGGCTTCTTTCAAATATGTAATGACAAAACACAATACGATTTTGGTTGTGAGAATTTATGGAATATACCTTTATTTAAAATAAAAAATCATAATCAATTGATCCGTTGTCGTCCAGCGGTTAGGATATCTGGCTTTCACCCAGGAGACCCGGGTTCGATTCCCGGCAACGGAAGATTTAATTTTGGTACCCTTTTCGATTCACGTTATTTTTGAGTCATGGGTTAAAAACATTATTTTTATTTGATATTATTCTATTAAGCTCTTGCTGTGTAGGTTTGCAAAGTCAACCACCAAATAAGAGGGTACTTGTTCATCCCTTAACTCATTAATCTTTATAAAAACAGCACACAAAAGTCAAAGCTTATAACGGGTAAGAGCCTTCCTTGATCATTCACTTATTGAGGATATGCAGAACACATTCATTGGCCTCTGAATTGGTGGGCCTGGGATTCAAGACCAAGTCAAACGAAGATTTCTTTTTACCTTTCATCCTTTTAATTTTGAAATTTAGTTTTCATGATATATTCAAACAAAGTTCAAGAGAAGTGTGAATAGAAAAAATAAGAGTTGAAAAAAAAGAAATTTTCAAATGAAACGGAGGAACATTAGGCCCAATAATTGTATTTTTCAAGCTAAGAAATTTGATTACTGGTGGCTGAAGCTTTGGATGCTGGGTTCTCCTTGCATCTCTCTGCCACAGCGCTCCCGCAACAGTGCAAAATAAACATTTTAAACGTTCTATGAACACATCACTTGAAAATAATAATCATTCGGCCACACATGATGATAGTAGACTCTCGTATTAATCTTTGAAATTGTATGAATAGTATATTTTAAATACTGAGTCCACGAACTTGTAGGAGAACTTAAAATTTCACTTGATATATTTATGTATTCGGAGTAACTTAACTAAATCACACAAATAAATGATTTATTTAGTAGATAAAACTAAATTCATCTGTAGCTAAACGATCGCAATACCTGCACCAAGGAGAACAACTTGTGTTTTTCTACCACTACCACTTGAGGAATTGAGAGATTTTTTTATAGTGTAGAATCAACCCAATGAATTCAAACTGCAAGATTCTCTTAAAGAAATTTGAAATGCATTAATAAATGTTGAGTTGATCTTTCTTCATCTTTTCATGGAGGTTTCTCAAGCAAGTTTCCCCTACCCATAAATCAGCCAAGGCAATATCATTAATGAAATAATATGCAACATAAATGTATAATTATATTTGTTATGTAGATATTGGTACATTTATGAGATATGTTAGGTATGTATTATACTACTTAATTCCATACTAAAAAGAAATGCAGATAAACAAGTATAATAGGAAAAGACCCCCCTTTTTTTTTTTTATCAATTCTGAGTCAAATTTATGTCCTTAATTGTCTATTTCAATAGAAACTGTGTTCTTGACCATAGTCTAACGATCTGATCGTGCCTTAACATTAATATTTTTTTAATTAAACATAAAAAAATAGTTTAAATTTTCATGCAACCTTTAAATAAGGCCTATGTTTGACATCAATCTGAATTAATATAACTTCTCAAACTTCCTTTTTTTTTACAAAACTTTTCAAACTTTTTTTTAAGTTAATACTCTCAGGTTCAGAAAGTTTAAAACTAATTCGTATTTACAATTCAATCGTTAATTAAAACTAATACTTTTTATTTTTAATATTTAAGTAATATTAAACAAACGTTGTTCATCGTCCAGTGGTACCCGTAGGACAGTATAAACACCAAAACTATTTAGTATATAATTTTAAATAATTAAAAATATTAAACAGAATTTTAAAACGCTTATTATTTGGGTTTATTTTTATCAGTTAAAAAAAGGAGATTCCATTTTTAATTGAAAAATGTGGTGCAGTGGTTGTGGGCCCAAATGATATGCAGAGAGAGAGAGAGAGAGAGAGAGAGAGTGGGCCCGGCGGCGTCAGTAAATAATAACAGTCCCCACCTTACACACAACACAACAATTCTCCTTCTTCTTCCTTCTTCAGTTCTCTGCACACCGCAATTCATCTATTGCCATGAATTATTTCTATCTCTTCGCCCTAAATTTCATCGTTTGCATGGAACGAAAGGTGAAGTAATAATTAGATTAAATCATTGTTATTCAGAGAAGTTGAAGGGAAGGTAAGTAAGTAAGTAAGTAAGAAGACCTAAGGCTAAAATGTCCGTTACGGAGCTGAAGGAGCGTCACTTGGCGGCAACGGAGACCGTCAATAATCTCAGGGAGCGTTTGAGGCAGAGGCGCAACTCTTTGCTCGATACAGATAGTAAGCGGACTTTTTCAATTTTTTATTTCTTTGAGTTTGTGTTAATGAATTGGTCTTGAGTCTTAGATGATAGATCTCATTTCAATTACTGAAATCTCCTTCGTTCCTTCGTTTCTCTTAGTTGCTGGCTACGCCAAGTCTCAAGGTAGAACCCCTGTCACCTTTGGACCCACCGATCTTGTTTGCTGTAGAACGCTACAGGGTCACGCCGGAAAGGTAAATTCGCTTCAATTCGTTTTCCTATCTTCTCTAACTTGGAGAAAAAGCTTTCTATATTTTTTTCCAACTTCAAATTAATGCGGTTGTGCGAAACATTTTGGATTTCGAATGAAATAGGTGAGGGATTAGGAAACAAACCCCTTCATGTTTCGCTTTGCCGTTTTGTTGAAACGTTTTATGGACCTTAATATAAGATCATTTAAAAAAATTTTAAACATTTTTCTCATATTTGCCTTTCATGAATATTGAAACTGTCTTAAATTCATTGCAATTGATATGGTAATAGACTTTGATTTTGAATAGGGTAAGCTTGTAATGTTGTAATTAATATTTAAAAACCAATACATTAATTAATTTGAACTTTTCTTAATCTGTGATTTAGTTAAAGGGGCATTATGAACAAGACTGAGGGAGTGTGTTCTACGATGGTGTTTGTTAAAAGGGCATTATAAACAAGACTGAGGGAGTGTGTTCTATGATGATGTTTGTTGCTCAGAGTAAATTAATGTGTTGGTTATTATTATATCTTGGTCTTTAATGTGACTCAATAAATTTTGTATTTGTAAGTTTACACCATCTCCACTGCCAAGTGTTTTGCCCATAAATTTCATTGGAACCAAGCAAGAGAAGCATAGTAAAAGCCTCACAAAGAATGTGTAAAGTAACGAGGCCAGGTGCCAAAAGGGGTTAGCATCTCATGTTGGTTGAGGCATGCACACCTGTGGCACCATAGGTGTACCTTTTTTTACAGACAAGAAACTTGCGTGGTATTGAAAACTGTCAAAAAAACCCTATAAAGCATAGCTGTAAGACTTGGTAACTATAATGACATGAGGGTAACATAGTCAGAATGTTTTAAAAAATAATTGTTGGTTTTTGGAGTCATTAATCAATTAGTTGTTTACTTCTTTGGTTCCTTCTTTTCTCCAGGTTATTGTGGAGAAACAGTTAGTGACTAACCACATTTAACTGCTACTTTGTTTTATGGTTAGTCCTAAATGATAGCTGCCATGATTAGCCCATTTGAAAATTGAATGATGTCAATTGACAGCAAGGAGAACTTTTCTGTTTTGGTTGGTTATGAGATTGGCTCATAGACAATGTGGTCATTTTTTTTACTACATACAGTATTAACAACTTTGTATTTGTTTGAATTTTGCAGGTTTACTCATTAGATTGGACTTCAGAAAAGAATAGAATTGTTAGTGCATCCCAAGATGGGCGATTAATAGTGTGGAATGCCCTAACAAGCCAGAAAACTCATGCCATAAAGCTTCCTTGTGCATGGGTCATGACCTGTGCTTTCTCACCAACTGGTCAATCTGTTGCATGTGGTGGTCTTGACAGTGTTTGCTCTATTTTCAATCTTAATTCCCCCACTGACAGGGATGGAAACCTTGCTGTCTCGCGGATGCTTAGTGGACATAAAGGCTATGTTTCCTCTTGTCAGTATGTTCCAGATGAAGACACTCACTTAATTACAGGTTCTGGTGATCAGACATGTGTTTTATGGGATATTACTACTGGCCTCAGAACATCTGTTTTTGGTGGTGAATTTCAGTCTGGGCACACAGCAGATGTACTTAGGTATGCTACTGGATTACTGTATTAATGAGCCAATATTTGTTGTTTTTCATTTCTTGAACAGTTTATTTGCAACAGCGTGGCCACTTTGGCATCAAAATGCAAAGCAACTGCATAAATGCCAGTTAAATTTATTCCTAAAATCTGCATTACGCAGATAAGATTATGAAATCTTGATGGCAGTTAACTGACTGGTTATATGTTGATCCTTAGCATCTTCTTCTTATCATATAGAATACTGATCTCCTTCCCATTGCCATAATATGGTGTGGCAAGTTTAGAACATAATCTGTTGAATGATGTGTGGTTTAAGCTGATTTAATTATAGTGTTATATAAAACATGATTCAGTTGAATACTATTTATTTAGTATTAAATATTTTCTAAGACAAACATGTTTTTGTTTTGTCCACTCAGCATTTCCATTAATGGATCCAACTCTAGAATGTTTGTATCTGGTTCATGTGATGCAACTGCCCGATTGTGGGACACTCGGGTGGCTAGTCGAGCAGTGCGAACATTTCATGGGCACGAGGGAGATGTTAATTCTGTCAAGTTCTTTCCCGATGGAATCAGATTTGGAACTGGCTCAGCTGATGGCACTTGCCGATTGTTTGACATTAGGACCGGGCACCAACTACAAGTGTATCATCAGCAACACAGTGACAATGACATTGCGCATGTGACCTCCATTGCATTCTCCATTTCTGGAAGACTTCTTTTTGCTGGATATACAAATGGTGCTTGCTATGTTTGGGACACTTTATTGGCAAAGGTAATTGGTGTTTTATTGTTATGTAAAACAACAGTAAGGTTTTTGCTTTCACCTCACAGCCTTGTAACATGGGTAAATCCAGCTTATCTTTTTTACAAAACATACACTACCCACTACATTACAATCATTTATCTTTAATGTGAATTATTCCACTTATGTAATAAAAAATTGGGTAAATGATGTTTCTGGTAGTGAGGAACTGCCTTATGGGGATTTTTTTTACAACATCTTTAATTCCTTAAAAATAAATTGGTTATTTTATTTTACTTCTACATTTGATTTGAGGATGAGCTTTGGTTTCATTTTGTTTCTTGTTCAATATTTCAGCCTCTGGTGACTTAGTGTAGGAACAGGGGCTGTCAGTCTATTCTACTTTGTAAGATCATGATTGGTTCCTGAGGAATTTGTGTGTGTATAAATTAGCTCATATAACATTCTGAAATTCTTTTTTGGTTAGATTAATAATCTAACAGCATTTTTTTGCTTTGGTAAATGCATGAAAATTTGCTTCATTTTGGTTTCTGCATAAAAAGATGTTTACTAATTAGTCTCTACTGTTTGCCAAAATTGTAATAATGTTAGATTTGGCTGAGTTATCTTTCATGTATGGATCAAAACAAAGTGTAAATTATTTTTATGTAAGGGCTAAAATATTAAAAAAGTCCAAGTATAGGAACTAAATCTTTTATTTGACCTAGCCAACTAAGAAAAATTTAACACAATTATAACTTTAACAATTGACAATAACTAATTTGCATTTTTCATGTAGGGACTAAAGTGTAGGACATTTTTTTCATGTAAGAGTTGAAATGAAATATGGTGTCATATGTAAAGACCAAATTATTAATTTAACCTTATTTTCATCCCAATGGCCTGAGTTGTGGAGCAGTAATGTTACTTTACATTTTCCTGCTTCTAAGAACTGTAGTAGAAATCACAATATTGGCTCTGTGAATTGAGTGTCGTGTTTTTTGTTTGAGTATTATATAGCTCAATCAGGTCTAGTTTTCATGTATATCACCGTATTGGATATTCTGGTCTAGAGAGGTTTGAATTCTTTGTCTAAAGTCATTACCTAATACATTGCTTTGAGGGCTAGTAAAAAGAGTTAATATGAATCTTTTGGAGAGATTGATTGAGGATTTTCTTATTTTGGAAAAAAGCAAGAGAAGGGAAATAAAAAACAAGTGCAAGTTACAACTTATGGGCTTGTGGCCTTAGGCTCATGTGATTTGCGAAAACAGGCATTACATAAAGTCTTAGGCTTCCCAAACTCGCCACAAGCATGCGTGCACACACCACACACACAATGACTGCTGACCAATTTGCATTGCTCATGCACTTGTATCTAGTGCAGGTTTTGCATCCAAACTTGCACTAAGACTAACTATACCTGTTTCTTTTTGTTCTATTGCAGGTGGTCTTGAATTTAGGGTCTCTTCAAAACTCTCATGAGGGCAGGATCAGTTGTTTAGGTTTGTCAGCTGATGGAAGTGCCTTGTGTACAGGCAGTTGGGACACAAACTTAAAGGTGAGCTTACGTTTTAGCCTGATTCAGAAATTTATGGGTTATATGTTAGGAGATATACCAATTTTGGGAGTTAGCTTCTATGTTGGTTGATCTTTTTCATGAGTTTTGAAGTCACTAGGATGATTTTCCTTGTTTGTCTATAAGGTTTTGTTCTCTCTTAGGTTAAAACTTGAAAATAATTAGGATTTAAGCCAAAAAATGCAATAAATTGACAAATCTCATAGGGGCTTAGAGTTTTACCATGTATTGAGTTGAAATTCAAAACTTGATTCCCTTAGTATTTATTCTTAGGCAGCGGTAAAATCCTTGTTGAGCAACACCATGTTCAGGTGTTGGAATCACATTTTTTATCATTGCGAAAGCTTTAGAATTTAAACACTAGTATTGGTTGCTTAACTAGTGGAGTTGATAAAACTTTTTTCTGAGGATTGTCTGATACCAACTCTGGTAACAGGTCAGTCATATTGTATCAACTGTACCAGTAGTGCTAATGTATGTGAATGCTACTGGTTAAATTAATGTGATATGGTATTTTCTGAGGTTTCATCTGTCACTTGCAAAAGTTAGGTTTTGTTTGACATAATTACTTGCTTGCAGATATGGGCATTTGGAGGGCATAGGAGGGTGATTTGAGCCATTAACGGGGCAAAGACTAATGCTTCGACCTCCTTTGTCAGGGCCCTTCCTTTCATGGTGTCGCGGTTCGTACAGGCCAATAGTGATGCTTTTGAAGGGATACTTGGACAAAAACAAAAATTGAAAGGCAAAGGTTATATAGCTTTTAGCAATGGAATTAGAGCAGCGGTTTGTTTATCTCCGTGCCCATTGGTTCGTGTGTGTGCGATTTAGTAATTTTTCCACTGTACTTACCGCTTCGATATCCATACCTTTAACACTTGAACCCAAAATGAAGGACTGTTTACTTCTTGTCTCAATTTAATTATTTGAAGATATTAAAACTTAACAAGACCTACTTCACCTGCCTCAAACCGCAGTGAGAAATGGAGTGTCGTACAAATGGGAGTTTAATTGAGCGTTGAATTTGCTGGATGCTGTGGAATTAGAAGTCAAAAACCGATTGTGCAACTCCAAACCATAGAAAATATAGCTTGAATAAAATGAACAAGGCGATAGAATTTGCTTATAATGTTAATGAGAAATTACCAAGATAGAATCTTGTTTTGAGTTTTGGTTTATCATGATGAAGGATGTCTTAAGGTACAAAGAAAAATAATTAGTCTCTTGTATGAGCGCACTGCTATTTGTCAGTTGTCATCCAACTGTAATAATGGAAAGGTGTTCAAAGGATGCAACCGTTACTTAAAGGCTTGAATTTGGTCATTACATGAAATCACTTGCAGTCAAGCGAGCCTGACTGGGTATTAATATGACCTTTATGAATCGAAGTTATATTTGTGACTCCAAAGTATGTAATAAATTGTCAATTTTTATTTGAATGTCTATTAAACAGCCGAATTAGTTTCGAAATTTGTGGAACATGGCTTAATTTAACTAAAGAAATGAACACTCGGAGACCTGAGACCGTAGTTCTTATCATTTGGGGACTTAATGCGACTCATTCTATATCTTTTAAAGACAAATTCACCGTAGTGCAAAGTACTTCGATGCCCCCCAAGGGACTGCCTACTGGACCGAAAAACAAAACAGGGACAGCCTACTTAACTCCTTACTAGACCGGCAAAAAAAAAATGGTGATCTAGCATCATGCTTAAAACTGTTGAGCAATTCTACGTTTATTAAGCTTAAAAATGAGATTCAAGTTAAAATTTATTTGATATGTTATTGATTCATAAGATTTAAAATAAAACAAAAATCTTAAAGCCTTTTTTTTTTTGTAAGTACTTTTTGAAAGGCTCAATTTCTTAAAAATCTATTTCGCCTAACTTCTCAATTTTTTAAGGGAAAAGAAAAGGAGCAAGTATTATCTTAGCAGCTACAAGTGCATATAATGAGTAAATTTGGACAGGCTCAAGAGCGATGTCTTTTGTAATTAACAATTGCCATTCAACAAGTATCCAATTCATTGAGGACACGGTCATTGATTAAGGCAAATTCTCAAAATTCATCTTACATTCACTACAAGGGAAAATGAAGTATAATCACGAGGAAGTGTGCTCTAGTAAGCTCGATCTGACACTTCCAGTATAGTTGTTAGTCTAACAAGAATGCACTGAGTGAAAGGACAAACAAAACGTGAACTAGGACCAACCAACAATTTTGTAATTCTTTACACACGTCTACCTATGTGCCTGTTTAACTCCAATCTCATTGACAAAAAGATCAGCCGTTTAACTCAACATTTCTTGACTCAATGGATTAGCCGCTTGCCACAATCTCGTGAATGGCATCGCTTACACTCTCATCCTCAGATCTGACTGCCACTTTCATTGCAACATCCTTTGGACCATCAAGTCCAAAAGACAATCGCACAAGCACCTTTACATTACCAATGAATACACCCGACAATAAACATGTGTGTGATCTTGAATTGGGTGGAACAACTTCTGTGTCCTGCACAGTCAGCAAATAAAATTATAAATATATCACCTTCTTAAAATGTACCAGTAAACAGTTGACAACACTAAAAGATAAGGTTTAAATATATTTTAAGTACTTCTAAATAGGACTTATTTCAAATTAATATTTATTAATTTTTTATTTTATTTTAATGACTAATTACTTTTTTTTTTAATTTTGTACTTAACGTTAACTTCCGTCAATTAAATAGTGACAAGACTTATAGTTTGTCATATCACCCTTAATCTCTCTCCTTCATGTTACCTTTAAATTTACAACTCAACATCTAAGGAAAAGGTGGAAGAGAGAGATTTAACTAACGGAGATTAATGTCAAGTACAAAATTAAAAAAAAAAATAGTTAGACATTAAAATAAAAAAAAATTAATAGATAGTGATTTGAAATAAATCTTATTTAGAGGTAATTAAAATATATTTAAGCCATATAATATACTCTTCTTTTTTGAGATTTTGTTAGGTACTCATGGAGGGAGTTATATCATAACTTGATAACCAGTCTATTAGCCACCTGTCTAGGTGAGGTAAGATTTGACATTATCTTACAGTTAGCTTGATCCTGGTGCCATGGAGTAGAGTAATAGAAGCGCCTAAGAATCTCTTCTAATTTAGGTTCTCTATGGATACAGTGATGCACCCTTGAAGATTATGTCATGGAGTAAAATATCTTTTACTACAATGCACCTAAAAACTTCTTTTAAGTTCTCTGAGCACATGTTCATGTGTGGTCAGGGAACACATGCACAGACAAGCGTGCTGCCAAAATAACTTGTTATGTGAATGCATGGGCTTCCTTGGGTGCATGGGATTGGGATAGTTAACATGAGGTCTTAGGTTCAAAAGTTTATGGAAAACACTTTGTGCACCCGCTGTGCACATTAAGATACAAGTTATATGGTCTCAGAAGAGTTATCAAATTTCAATGCAGCATTCAGCAATAGATATCATTGACTTACCTCACAGGGCTGCAAGCCAAGAAGGTTGATAACAGTGTTTACGGCTTCAGCCAAGCTCTCCCTCGGACCAAGACCATACTCATCCACTCGTTCAAAATCAGGGCCCAAGCTTTCCCATGCATTCCTAAAATTAGACACCCCCACTTTCAACATGTAATCTGCTGCAACAACCTCAAGATCCTCCAGCTGGTATTCATCTTCAACACCATCATCTTCAGCCTCACCAGTGGTTGGATCAACCTGAAGAATATCCAATTTATGCAAGGGTGAGATTTCCACAAAAATAATATAAATTAATTTCCACAAATTCCTGAAATGAGAAAAAAAAGCTTCATGCTTGAAATTTACAAATAATCATGATACACATTGCATCTGGTCAAATTATTAAAAACTAGAAAGCTTCACAAAATAAAGGAGACAATACCTCTTTAACAAAAAATTTCAGAATGTTGGAAAATTTTCCAACTGTTGGCACTCCCTCAGGCTTCTCAAATGCCACAAAAGTCTGTCCAGGTGAATCATATGGAAGAGACCTGAGAGGCTTGGAGAACACCTCAGAGAATTCATCTGCTTCTGAAGCATCCACAATTACAATAACCTGTAATAGGGAAAAATAATTACAAAGATAAACTGGGGTTGGCTTATTTTGTGAAATTTAGAAGCATCTATATCAGTCATTACATTTTCCAATAACTGCTCTGGTATTGTGTTTGTGCAGTTGTACTGGAACACAACATGCCTATCAAAAATGTGTTTGACAACATTAACTGCATATTCTGTCTCAGCTTCAGTGAGCTCCACAGGTGCTGAGGACTGGTGAAAAGAATATAACATCAACACACATACTGTATTAGATATATAAGAAAAAATATAAAATATAGAACTTGGGAAGAAGAATCAAGTGAAAGAACCTTAAAAAGTTTCCCAAAGTTTGCACACTCCGGAATGGACAAAAGCATCCTTTCATACGCATCTGCAGTTGATGGGGGACCACTTGGAGGAGCACCCAAACCAGTTGGCTTTTTACCAGTGGCTTTCTTTTCTGCAAGTGGCTGGGACTTGACCTCCTTGGGCACAGCGTTAATGTCAAAAGCTTCTTCTGAAGGCTCCTGCATTCATATTGAACACATGAGATGATGAACCATTGGCAAGAAAGAAAGATGCTGAGAGCTTACATATTTTTTCAAACTAGTCTCTAGATTGACAAGTGGGATATCAAATGGCCCAAACAGGAAGTCCTTTACATCTTTATCAGTCTCAACAACAGAACCATGACCTCCAACTGTGTTCAGGTAAAGTGTTGCTCTATCGCGAACCTGCAAAGAAATCAAAATACCAAATATAAATCAAAGCCGTTAACTATTTTACAAAATATCCAGCATTGGAAAACCTCGTTTGTGTGTGTGTGTATGCGTGGAGGGTGGATAAAACTGGACTAGAAATAGGATGAACAGAGATTTTTTTTATATTTTTTTTCAGAAACACCTTCCTCACTATCAATGCAACACAGAACCTGAGGCCAAGTTCGACACAATGGAACTCTGATTCTTATGCATTCAAGAGATCTGTTCTCTCCCTACCCAAATACCTATTCTAAGCTTAAAACCTCTGCTTTATCATTACCCTCCTATTCTTAGTATTTTAAAAAAATGGTAGACAAACATGAATCTATTACTGAAAGATTTAAACAATCCAAAATTATAATTTTACATTCACATCACAAGTACAAGCAACAAAAACTAAGTAAAAAAAAAAGCCACTAAACTAACGGATTTCATAAACCACATAATTATAGAAATGCCTCATAAAACAAGACAGAAAATTCACCTCATCATCACTGTCAAAAAGACATCGCCTTAGCAGAACAAATATGCGGGGCTGAAAAAGTGAAGCATGAGATTTTAGGTTAAAGTTAGCAACAATATCCCCAAAAATATTATTAAAAATTTAGAGAAAACCACTACCAACAAAACGATAAACAAGGAAAATAACACCTTTAATGCATCAACTGCAGCACCAAATTTTGCCAGTGTGCTCACAGCACTGGCTCTAACAGTTGCATTCTCAAGATGTACTCTATTATAAATGTAACGAATATATTTGCTTGGGTCTGATGTTTTTGGTCCTTCAATTCCCAGGAAGTGAAGTATCTATGGTACAAGGGGAACAAAATGGTTAGAACAAAATGTAAAACTTCAGAAAATAGAAATGCACAAACTGTGAACAATGAAGGACAGGCCAAAAGTAATACCTGTGTCGACAAATAAGTAAATTCACAATCTTCAATGAACTCACAAAGATGAAGTAATCCAGCTTCCTTTGCATCAGGGATATCTCTAATGAGGATTACAATTGAATCTACAATTGCCTTCTTGTAATCAAAACCACCTTCTTCCCTAAGAATGTTACTCAGGAAGTTCATCCTAAAAACAATAGCAGAATACAAACCGTCAATTTAGTACATCTATCTAGGAACAAATATGTAACATATCATAGGGGGACAAGACAACTATAGTCTGGAACACATACAGAGATCGGTATTTCAAAGGGAACTTCAGGCACAATGATCTTATTGCTTCAACAACAACAATTTTGAACTCATCAGCAATATCAGACATGAAATTTGTGATCTGCTTCATAAGACGATCCACACTAGATTCATTTCCTGTCTTCAAAAGTGTAGTAATAGCAAGGGTGGCAATGCTTCTATTCTGGTCAGAGATTAAACTTTCCATATCAATGTTGCAGTTAGTGACAGCCATTGGATGTGTCATAGCCACCTGCAAGTTTCAAAGTCACACTCAACAGTTAAACACATTTGACCATGACAAATCTAGATAAATTATTTAGGAACACTGAAAATCTTAATTTTCTATCAACTCCTTCAAATCATAGAAGGAAAAATGCAGAACACTCATTCCGTGGACAGGGAGGCTCTGGCGGGCGACGGCACACCAAATATCCTTTTTTCTAAAATTCTACAGAAGTATAAAAATTACTGTGGTGAAATTTGAGTAATTAAAGAAAAATAACCTTGTTCAAGGTGCGGACAGCAGCAAATCTCAAGACTGGCTTTGAAGAACTTAAGAATAGCTGAAGAACAGTAATTGCTGGATTTAATTCTCGACTTGTTACACCATTGAACTCTGTTATTGCCCTGGCAGCTTCAAAAATCACCATCTCTGACTTGTGGCGAAGGCAACTCTCAAGATAATCATAGAAGGGGCGTTCCCCTGACTGTGTATTATTGCCTGACTCACGAATAACCTATATACGATGGAAGATAAAAATTAAGGGAAAAATTATTGTCCCAGCAACAAAGTAAACATGAAAGGAAAACACACCTGACTTGTGTAACGTATCAAAAGGCACTGGGCTAAAGGTGAGCGAACAGTTCCCCTTGTTAAGCTGGTAACCAACTTGCTAACTGCTAGCCGGTCATTCTGTCGTATCTGCAAAGGTTTAAATCACCATGCACCCCTAACACTCTTTAGAAGTTATAATTGTGTTTTGTATGATAAGAAAAGAAGGCTTTTAAGAAGGAAAAATTAAAATGAGTGCACTAAAAATGTTAATGGAGTGCTTTAAAGGAATAGAAATTAATGAGTAGAACTTTCCATCATGGTCCAGCTCAAATTGCAATGCTACAAGATAATTGCATTACACATGTAAGGAGTCAGATGATGCCAAAATTTGCAGCAGTATATAATCAATGCAGGCAATTTTCTACTTATTTACCAACATGAGGTTGAAAGCATACAAAACCTGGCCAACTTCAACAATAACAACACAATACAGAGATGTAGACAGACACTCTAGACTCTACCATGAAAATTTTTACTGTATTGTAAGAAGCAACCACTTCTAAAGTGATTAACCTAAAAGTTTTAGCTGTAGAATACAGTATGACAAACAAACAAACAAACGTTAACTCTGCAGGTGAGATTCAAGAAGTTTTTCTCTCTCTCTCTCTCCTTTTTTGTCAAATTCAACACCCACATAATCAAGCATCTTCAAAAGAGATGTACTTAATTGGTGTAAGTTGTAAAAGGAGAGAATGAAGACTAGCTCATGCTGAACATTCATCATTCATGATGTTTAGCTATTATAAGCCATGTAGTTTAGTGACCATTCAAGAAAGTGTAGTGGCAGTAGAAATATACAAGCCAGCAGGTGAACCCTAATACACCAAATGACCTAGAATGGTGATGGAGTTTGAGATACTTTAATGTGCCAAAAGCCTGTAAAGAACCAAATGATCTGGAATTCAAAGCATACCTGATGCAGCAAAGCCAGTGCATGAAACTGTACGAGGGCTGCTCTTGATTGAACAGCTTCCTGAACCTCATTGCTCCATCTTTTTACAATTTCAGGATTAGTCTGTAAAGAAGGACACAAAGGAAGCAAGCAGCATAAATGAATATGAGTATATATAGAATAACAAAAAGAAGATAGTATGACTATTACTTGGAGTAGATGAATGCCACTAATTAAAGCAGCACTTGCAACAACCGGATTTTTATCTACAATTGCTTGTTTCAAATATCGCTCAATTTGGGCAAGGAGGGTTCCGTCTGTGATATGACAAAGTACTCGAATGGCATTTGCCCTATACATATCAATCTTGCTATTCATGTCCTTCATGAGAGAGCTTGTGACAATAATAACCTATCAAAAGATTAAAAAAACAGAAGAGCCATAATCTAAGTTAGTAATACACACATCACAAATCATATATGCATGAATCTATCAAGCAACAAAATTTGCAAAAGAACATGTAACCTCGTCTGCAGAGGGGGAGATCTCCTTTATCATCAGGTAGACCATTCTCCTTAATCCCATATCTTTAGACTGGAACAGCTTTGTCACAGCAAAGAAAACTTCTGTGGCTTCAATCTAGCAGAAGTAAAAGAACCCAAAAATGGATTAATAGATAACTCTAACATAATTACACAAAGTGAATCCACAAATAAGCACTGAAATGGATATCATTCTAGACCTTTGTAAATGTCTCTCCCTGATTCAGAAGGTATAGGAGTTTTGTAATAACCTGGACATAAATTTTACACATGATGTCAAAATTCAACCACTGAATAATTTATAGAAACTAGATGAAAAAATACAAATCCTTCAGTTCATGATAGCAACCTGTGAACATCTCCTAGCATCTAATTGCGGGTCATTGAAAACCCTGGCCTCCTGAAGAACGGCCCCCTTTTCTATTCCCAGAAAGGGGGAATACTCGGCTGTTCAGTAACCAAAATCAAATCACAATTAGTAACATTTACATTTTGCCCACAATTACGTCGACATTAATGAGCAGGACTCGTCACAATACATCACCCTGACTCGGGACCTAAGAAAAAAGAAAAATGTAACAAAGCTAAAAGATCTACACTGTCAACTCATCACCAGAAACTTGTTCAACGATCTGCATTGCGAATTATGTGGCAATATCAATTCACATTTTAACAATTGATAAGGAATTAAAATCAGATCAAACGAGACACAGAGTTGAACAACACGAGATTCAATCCAAAGATGATGAGATATCTAACTACGGGAACCCTACAGCTGCACTCGGAAATGGAAATGAAAGACGGATCTGGAATCAAAACATATTGATCCAGAAGTGACAACCGGAGGAACGTAAATGATAAGCTCAAAAACGATAGAAAATGGATCGAATTACGAAAGAAGAAGAAAAGAAGTGTGAGTGCACCTTCGTCGTCGCGGTCATCGTCTTTTTTCACGAGTGGCTGAGCCATCGCCGGTGAATCTGTGAGATCTCTGTTCTGTGTGTAGTGTCTCTGCGAATGCAACACTTAAAAAGTTTATAGACAAATCAGTGCTACACAAGAAAGAAGAAGAAAAATGCTCTTTAAACGCACGAGTGCTTTGTACTCCAAACACAGATGAGGTGGGTGCCGGGTGTGTATACAAGGATAGTTACATCTTCGTTTCTAATTAAAATTTAATCACATTTAATTGAAATATTTTTATTTTATTTTTTCGCTATAATAATTGAAATAGTATTATTTTCTTTCAATATAATAATTAAAATATTTTTAAATGAGTAATAAAAAAAATAAAATATGTATTATTTATACGAATAAAGATAAGAAAAAATTAGAGAAAGCTCACATTATTTATTAAAATAAGTTAAAAAGAAATAATGGGTAATTTTGTTCTAGATATTCTTTATATTATAAAAAATATTAAAAAATAAAATAAAAAGTTAAGTAGAAGTTGTCACTGTACTTTTGTTCTCGATTTTTCATTTTTTTTCTAACCAAACAATTAAAATATCTCCTCACTCCATTTTTTTTCCCTCTCTAAATTACTCAAAATAAAGAAAGTGTAAAAGGTCAATTTGGGTAACGACACCAATTCTATTTTAAAAGGAAAAACATAAATTTAGAGACAGTATTAATATAATGTTGTGAAAGAGAAACAATTTCTAATGAACAAATAAAATTTACAACAGGAGTACAAACAAACTCTAATATTAATAATATAGAAGTTCTTTTGTTATTATTACTACAAGAAAGTTATTTTATTACAATTCACACGTAACTCTTTTTAGATTTTTTTTATGCTCTTAGTTTCTTCGAATTTTTTGTTTTTTTATGTTTAATATTTTTAATCTAGTAAATATCGCGTCTATTCTATATTTATTATTTTATAAATTATATCATGAATATTTTTTTTAACAAATTAGGGCATATTTCGTAAAAATGTACTTGTGTTAACTATTAGAAAGACCACATTAAATCTTTTATTTATTTATAAATATATTAATTTTTAATTTGATTCTTTTAAGTTTAAAAAAATTAAATAATATATATTTAATTTAATTTTTATATGTTTCACTAATAATAAAAAAATTATTTATTTTTAAGATAACATGTCATTTTTAATTTATTTTTTCTAATTAAGTTTCACTAAGTTTGTTGCAATTTAGTTAATTTATTTTAAAGTATTTTATTTAATAAAATAATTTAAACTATAGTTAAAATTTTAAATGAAATCAAAATGATGTAATCATGTATCATATAAAAATTTATTTATATAAATGGCAGGTTAGAAGAGCAATTTTGAATTAAATTAAAATAAATAAACCCATCCCAACTCGAATCATTATCACCCTAGATTTCAAACAACTTTTATTACACATTACAAGTTTCATTGAACAGACACGAAACAGATTGTTCACACGTACACAGACACCTCCAAATTCCACCGAGACTTGCTAGTCTAATGTTACAACACGTGCTTTGATATTTCCATCCTTTTTGTGTTCAAGAGTTATATATCCTAACAAATCAATTAATGTTACAAAAGAATGGTGTCTCTTTGATTCCCTCTGCATTGTTTCTTTATCTCAAGGAGTGTGCATTCTGCTTCCTGTTCCTGTCCTCTTGCCATATTCAGTAGTTGCTCGATCACTGCTTGAGGTTGAAGGGTTGAGGCCATACTCACTCGTTCCACCGTACTCACTGCTTCCCATGCCACTATCCAATGCTAGTTTCCTGAACCTTGCCATGTCAGCCTCATACTCGCTGCTTGTGCCGCTCAATTGCGCACTTTGCCCAGGTTTCACTTCGTCATGTTTACTTAGGATATCTACTGAGACATCACCCTCCAGTACTCGTACAACCTATTCAATATATCATCGTATTCAACTTTTAATTACTTTGCTCAAATTATATAGCGTTCGTAATTAAAAGTTATCACCATGCATGAGCATATGCGTGGCATATATTAATTATATTACCTGGCTCATTCTTGGGCGCCTCCTTGCTGAATGCCTAACGCTAGCAGCAGCACAAGCCACCATACGAACCATCTCCTGCTTGTCATAATTGTCCTCTAAACGTGGATCAACTAGTCCATCCAAGGTTCCATTTTCCGTTGCCTTTGTTAACAGTGGTCTAGCCTGTTCATGTATAAATTTACGAAACAAGTCAACATTATTTAATATCTTTTCATTATATATACAAATAGATGGATTACTTGACAATTAATTAGTATTGGAAACATTCATAAACTAAATTCTAAAATTGAGTATGAAAAATTTTAGTAACTTTGGGAGAATAATTAATATACGTACCCAATCAACCAGACTATCAGCTTCTCCATATTCCCCGGTGTTGTCCACTGGGCCTCGTCCTGTCACGAGCTCCAAAAGCATAACACCGAACGAGAAGACATCAGATTTTTCAGTTAGCTTACCAGTTGATGCATACTCAGGGGCCAAATACCTGATTTAATAGACAAGTGTTTGATTAGACTAAATTGTCATGCATTCATTGCTTGAAAGTTGAAACAAACATATACGTACTTATATGTATCAACAACGAGAGTTTATATCAAGTTATGATTTATTGTTTCCTTACCCGAATGTTCCCATCACGCGAGTAGAAACATGAGTGTTAGCGTCTTGATTGAACTTTGCCAATCCAAAATCTGCCACCTGAATGGACAGAAAATCGTGAATTACCCCGAAGAATATTCATTATTCGAGAAGCCATACTCCCTAAATAATTGTAGCTAATGAAATTTTATGCACGTACTTTGGCCTCAAAGTTGTTTTGAAGTAGAATGTTTGCTCCCTTTATGTCTCGGTGAATGATACGAGGGTGACCTAGTTAATGTTTCAAATCACAAGTTATTGACGCTGACTTCATCGTTAAGCATGCAACAAAAGAAAAAGATATGCGTATTCATTATTTGCAAGAAAATAAGCACATCACTTACAATCCTCATGTAAATAAGCAAGTCCTTTGGCTGATCCAATCGCAATTTTGAGCCTGGTGCCCCAATCCATGACAGGTTGACCCTTTCCTGCAAAATTTTATTCTTGTAACAGGTTTTCACTACACACACACATACAATTGGTGCAAAGGTAAAATTCAAGTAAGTAAAGGACTAATTTGAATAAATATAGTTTGAAAGAAACGCACCATGAAGGTGGAATTCAAGGGTCTTCTTGGGCACAAATTCATATACCAGCAGCTTTTTGCTTTCTGTGATGCTATACCCAACAAGTGACACAAGATGACGATGATGGACACGGCTAATAATATCAACCTCAGCTTGGAATTCTCTGTCTCCTTGGCACCCCGTGGATTTGAGGCTCTTTACCGCTATTTCCTTTCCATTGGGTAGGACACCTTTGTGTACAAAACCGAAGCCACCTTGACCCAACAGGTTCTGTTGGGCAAACCCATCAGTTGCAGCTGACAGCTCATCATAGGAGAAGGAACTCTGGTTGAATCCAAGTGCCACTGTAGGGTGTGGGGGTGGCATTGCTGGACCATGGGAGCCAGACAAACTGGAGTTGCTCAAGTCACTACTAGCACGCTGGGGTGGTTGGGGTGCTACTGCTACTCCCCAACCTGCTCCTGGTGGTGGTGGTATATTTAGAACGTGCTCACCGTTATTGTATCCATACTGATTTGGAGCTGCTGCAACTTGACCTTGAAAATAGCCATCATCTGCATGTAGCCATTTATCAACCATATTCTAAGTCATTTGGTTTCATAGTTAGTTATAAATAAGAGAAGAAAATAAGATTAAATGAATGAAACTTCGTATGAAGTTAAAATTGATTAATGATACACCTTTTGTTTAATAAATTTTCTCTTTCAATTTTTTATATATACTTAACAATAAACTTAAGATTCAACAGAATTTGATATTCTTGTGTTGATGATAATAAAACTTCGTGATTGAAAATCTTTCATAAACTAGAAATTAATTCGAACTCGACAATAATTTTAACTAGCTGTAATATAAAGATGATACATACTTTCACATGATTCTAATGTAAGTTACATCATTAATTTGTGTGAGGATCATGTAATATTGGGAAATAAGTTTTAGTAAGTTTGCATGTTTTCGTATTCCAATCGTGGATGCTATTTATTTTATATGCGTACCTCTCGGTTGATTAAAGTAATGAATGGGAGGGTGTGCTTTCTTTTTCTTTCTTGAACACAAAATAACGACTATGAGAACGAGAAGGAGCAAAATCCCAGCTCCAACTAATGCTCCTATTATAACTGGCAAGTTTGAGTGGCTTCCACTATCCGGAGATGCATTGGCAAGACTTGAGCTCGATGACTTAGTGGGTGGAGACAATCGATGGTGGGGGGTTGGAGGAGGAGAAAAAGCTTGGCTCGATGGGGGTGGAGGCGGGTGACTTCCTGATTTCTTTTCAGGAGGAGGAGGAGGAGGTGGAGATGAAGAGGAGGAGCCAGACGGTGGGGGTAAAGAATTTTGATCACCTGCTACTGGTGGTGGTGGTGATGGTGATGATGACGGTGGTGGAGGTGAAGAATTTTGATCACCTGGTACTGGTGGTGGGGCTGATGGCGGAGGAGGTGACGAAGGCGGTGGAGATGATGGTGGTGGGGGTGATGAAGAGGGTGGCGGTGATGATGAATTATCTTGGGATGGTGCAGGTGCAGATGATGGTGGTGGCGGGGATTGTGGAGAAGATGAATCAGGTGGAGATGCCGTTGGGGAATTTGAAGCCATTTGGAAGGCTTCTCCAATAAAATTGAACGGTAAAGAGCCGGAGAAGCTTCACCCTGCCCCTCAAATAATGATCCCAGCACGAAGCCTGCAATAAATAAAATCTTTGTGTTGTGTTTTTTCACTTATTTTGAAAAATTATGATGTTTGCATGGCGTTTTGAAAGAGGATTAAATCTTACCGGAAAGCAAAGGACAGGAAGATTCTGAAAAGAAAGAAACGACCATATGACGAATATGCATGGTAATGGGAAATCCAGAAATCGTTTTCCAGGTCACTACAATATTCCTATTTTTAACTGTATATTGTTTTATCTGTCACTACTTTCTAATATTGCCCTGGCTGTTATATGCTTACAACTACATGGAAAGCTTGTAACAATCTTCACGAATCGTTGCTGAAGTCTGGATTCATGTTTGTCACAACGATTTTAAAATCTGTCTTAGATGTGCCTTATTGCTTTTTTAAGGGTAAGATATGACTCATCAAAAGTTTTAACCTGTCATAATGATTAATAAGTGTGTGCATAATGCATATTTATGGATTGAGTGAGATTAATTTTTTCATCTTGGAGTATGATAATCTGATATTATTATGTAAAATTAACAATACAAACAGAATCAATAAGTTAAATGAGAACACGAACAGATTCATTTTTACGAGTGTAAAATTACAAGAGAAGGCCGGAACTTAAAATAAATAAGCTTAGCCAATAGGAACTAAAATCGGGAAACCGGCAAAAATTGAACTTATATTTGTAAGACTGAAAATTATGTTTGAAGAGGATGGGGGGCTGATTATTCGTTTTAGACACAAACATTCAAGTTAAATAATAATATTTATTGTAAAACAAAATATATCCTGTAAGTTTTTTAAAAAGTTGGAAAATCCATGGAATATAACTAAGACTCACCATAGACAGGAGAATCTTTAATTTTTTAAAAAATAAGTGAATACAATGTATAAAAAAACTAATTTATTTTTTTTAACATATAAAAATGGAAAAAAGATCAATATAAGATAATATTTCTAAACTACTAATAAAATATATTAACAATTTGAAAAAAAATAATAAGGAGTGTTAGACGAGAGAGAAGGGGAAGCAGAAAATTTGAAAGTGAAAGCGATTATTAACAGCGCAAAACACAACTTTTCTCTCTCTGCTCGCGGAACGATGCTTTCCCGAAGAAGAATTTATCATTCTTGGGGATAGCAGGTTCGCTCTCTTCCTCTTCCGCTAAAGGATTACTTTCTTGCTGCGATTGCATTGCACATGAATTTTCGTTTAATTCATTCGATTTCTCCCTTGAAATTGCTCCGCTTCTCGTGAATGTTTAATTTGCGTTGCTCCGAAAGAATAATAGATGAGACATAAAACGAAACTTGAGAGGGGAGTGTGTTAAGTAAATTTACATTGATTTTTCAAATCATCTTTCTTAATTGAGCTCACTGTTCATCTGGAAATAAAGATCTGCGCTCTTCAATGTCTTCTATTTATTTTTTTCTTCTTATCTCTGTTCCTTGTGCTTGCTTACTGATCCATTGGTCTGCTTTCAATGTATATTGCCTTTGTTTGGATTGTAAGAGACAAAGCTATGTCGGTTCAAGTTGGATATTTAAAAACATGTGACGTTAATTTATGAACTCAAGAGAGAGAAATTCCAGCAGTGTATTTGCAACAATACTGTTGCTACTTTGCATTGTGGGTAAAACATCTTTGATGTATCAGTATCCTTTGCGATCGTGTAGGAATCCCTTGTTTCCCTTTTTTTTATAAATGCTCTATTTTCTATACATTGTAGTTGTGATGGTACGGGGTTATGCATTGAGTATCTACAGACAGATTAGGTGTTTAGTCAAGTGTATTTTAGATATGTGAATAAGAAGTCTACTAATCAATACAAGGCAACCATTGGAGGGGAGTTTTTAACCAAAGAAGTGTCGCAATTTGAAGATAGGCATCTGCTGACTCATGGTTAGCTTGTTTTTGTAATGCGTGGAAGTGACCCAATGCTTGAGCCATGAGGATGGAAAATAGCATCCATTGTCTAGTTTCTAACATTATTAATGCAAATTTTGGAATTCCATTGACCAGATTTGCTTTCTTCCCTCCTCGTTGCACGTCAGATTCTCCAAATGACCACCAATCCACAAAATGAGATGTATTTCCTCATTGAGTCCAGATGACCAAAATTAGTACTAAAAGTGAAATCACACTGTAAAAGGGACAACGAGCTCTACTAATTTGTTGAATACCCCATTTAGACCCATTAAATACTGTGAATTAGCAACTAAAAAAATATACAACGAAAGAAATGAAAGGGGAAAACAATAGTCATCCACTGGAACGTGATTATCTTGATCGTCGCCAGACATCTATATTCTTCATAAAATCATTCCTTTGTCAGTACACTTCCCAAGAATGTGGTGAATAGCAACAGGATTGAAAGCGCACATTTTGCACAACTAACTATTCATATGGTCAAGCTAAACACCTAAAAAATTTAACAAAGCCCATAGCTCTACAAATTCAAGGTCATTATATAAATATTCACATCCCCTCATCCGCAGCTCCTCCTTATATAGATGTAAATATGATCCTACAATGTAGGATTCGGGTAAATGAATAGCAAGTAGTTGTCAACGTAGAGTTAGTCCCAGCGCTTTACCTTGAAAGAAGGATCAAATATGATCATCGGTTAATAGTGCAAGAACCTACTATAAAGCAATTACTAACATCTGTTAGGATGATGTTTTCTAAATTTTATAAGGATTTTGTGTGCGCATTTTTTAGATCTAGTTATATAAAAGAAAAAGTAAAAGCAATTTCATATTTTAATGTAATAATATTTAACATGTATTTATTTTATGTTTGAAACAACTTCTCCATATTTAGAAAAAGATTGTGTTTCCAAAGCACGGCTTAAATAAGAAAAAAAAATATCATGCAAACTCACTAAAATATAACAATTTACTTTTTCAAAACAAAAAGCACATTCAACTGAGCTAAGTCCAGAACCAAGCAAGCATTGAATGTGTCCAGAAAATAGATAAGCTGCTCAAGGAAAGCACATCTAATGAAAATTCCTTTGCTATATTTCGTTGACTCTATCTCAAAAGCATGTAGCCATGCATAGTTCTGATGAACAGACGTGCACAAAGCATGGGGGGAAATGCAGTACAGCTCTAGTTTATCCATTCACTCGTCATGCTTGATCAAAATTCAAATCCATTAAATAGACGGACACTTCAATAGAATGGAGAGCTGAGGACAGTTTTGTTGAAAAAGAGTTGTGATAAATCCCAAATGCAACAAAAAGTTTAAGAAAATACATAATACAAGCGGTTACTTGGCATAATTCAAACTACAAAAAAACATGATTATGATTTTCATCAAGCAAAAAGAAATTTTATGTATTCTAAAGATGAAATACCCTAACTTTTTCATCAACATAAACTCTTCTGCATTTTTCATAAAAGTTCCATATATTTTACTTCCTTTCAATTTTTCAAAATTTGCTTATAGGGAAAAAGGAAAGGGAAGGTAATTTTTTTCATTTTTAATAAGTATTCTCTAATTTGACAATAATAAAATGATAAATTGGAATAAACTCAAAGTCTTAATCTTTTAATATTTTTTATAAACATCATATAACTCTCTGAATTTAAAAATAAAATATATTTTTCATTCATTTTGTGAACTTAAATTGTATTGTGACAATGACCTCTTATTTACTGAATTAGATCATTACTGCTTCATTACATCCTTTCATACCCTTTTCATGAATAACTGTTTTACCTTTCGTGTGTGTGTGTGTGTAAGAGAGAGAAAGAGAGAGCGACCTGTGCTACATCCATTTGGAAGTTCATTCTTATCTGAAGGCATGCACAAATACATCATATCTAAATCCTTTTCATTCACAGAATGTTGGCATAAAACTGATGTAAATTGTGAATGAGATTTGCCATTCTCAGATGGCAAGGACCTAGAAACAAAATCAACATCCAATGCTGAATCTTTTGGATCCAGAGACTCAGAAACTGGATTTGTAGATAGCAGTTTTTGAGGCTTGCTCTTATCTGAGGGCATAGAGTCAGGCGTTGCATCTGAATCTTTTGATGTCTCTACAAGCAGTGGATGCTCTTCTGCTAGATTGGATTTAATTGACTGTTGAAGTTTATTTTTTGAGGGAAAAACATCAGATACATGTCCATCCTTTAGTTCTTCAATTAGCTGGCAACACTCTTTGAGCGAAGTTCCCTCTAACTCCTTAGAACTAGGTGGAACTTTATCATTGGGTGTTGAACCACCTGAGTCACATACAGTGCTTGGTGCTTGATCATTGGGTAACTGTGAGTTTCCAGCATCATTACAATTATCATGCCCAGCCTCCTCATGATTAACCATTGCTTGCTCCTTTAAAACAATTGGTTTTTTGAAGACTCCCTCATCAGGAGAAGCCAACTGTCTATTACCTTCTAAAGCAATATCTTTGTTTTTCTGGTCATTGTTATCATTTGATAAATCATTATCATCTAACATGGATTTGTCCTGTTTCACATTTCCGTCGTCCTGGTTTCCCTCTCTCCTCGATTCCCTAAAATCAATGCAGAGACAACATCAAAAGTTCTTCATCTACAACTATAAATTTATGGAATTGTCAAAAATGCATGATCTCAATATAATATCACATACCATTCACATGTAGTTGGTTCCATATCAACTGGTGGATCTTCCAGAAGAAAGCAATGCCTTGCAGAAAGCTCAGTGCTAGGAGAGTTTACAGATATAGATTTTAAGGAGCTATGAGCTGAAGCAACAGCATCATCAGAACCTATCAGGCGTGCAAGGAAAACTGCCTATAGAAGAAAGAAACGTGATGTTAACCAACAAGAGGATAGCATACGACTGAAATCATGGGAGGGGAACATTGTAGATAATAAAGTAATAAACAAGATAATTTAAAAGCATAATAAACACTAGCAATTTTGCAAAACTTGTC